TCCACAGTGACTCTCAGGTATTTGGGTGTGCTGCAATGCTCCAGTGGGATTCCTTCCCAGGTCATCCTCAGAGCTCAAGATGCTTGTTTGTTCTTAAGATGAAAAGCACACGTCTGCATTTTAGATGGATGAGGAATTTCATCCATCTATGGATGAGGGTGATTTCAACTATCCCGATATTTGCTGGAAAACAAACTCAGCAAACAGAACAAGGTCCAACAAATTCCTCGCTTGCCTTGCAGACAATTTCATGGTCCAGAAGGTAGAAGAGGCAACAAGGGGGTTGGCTACTCTTGATCTCATCCTAACAAATGCGGAGGACCTGATCGATGCGGTTGAAGTGGTAGGATCCTTAGGGGCAAGTGACCATGTGCTCCTGCAATTTGAGGTACAAAGGAAGGCCGAAACTAAGACAAGTCAACCCCGCATTTTGGACTTTAGGAGAGCTAATTTCTGAAAAATGAAGGAACCACTGAGCAGCATTCCATGGACACAGATACTAAAAGACAAGGGAGTTACGGATGGATGGGAATTTCTCAAGAGTGAAATACTCAAGGCGCAATTGCAAACCGTGCCAACAAAGAGAAAAAATAGGACAAGTGCAAAGAAGCCAGAATGGATGTCCAAAGAACTTCTAACTGTGCTAAGACACAAAAGGGACATGCACAAGAAGTGGAAAAAGGGAGAAATCACCAAAGAAGAATTCAAACAAATAGCCAACACCTGTAGGGAAAAGGTCCGCAAGGCTAAAGCACAAAACGAGCTCAGGCTTGCCAGGGACATTAAAAACAATAAAAAGGGCTTCTTTTCTTATGTCAGTAGAAAAAGGAAAAACAAGGAGGCGATAGGGCCTCTTCGAGGAGAAGATGGGGCAATGCTGACAGGGGATGATAGGGAAAAGGCAGAACTACTTAATGCCTTCTTTGCCTCGGTCTTCTCACAAAAAGAGAGTCTTCAACCTCAGCAAGATGGAGTGGATGAGGGATTGGAGGACATCCAACCCCAAATTGGGAAAGAAGTCGTCCAGGAATACCTGGCCGCTCTTAATGAGCTCAAGTCCCCAGGGCCAGATCAACTACACCCCAGAGTATTGAAGGAACTAGCGGAAGTCATCTCGGAACCATTGACAATCATCTTTGAGAGTTCTTGGAGAACGGGAGAAGTCCCAGCAGATTGGAGGAGGGCCAATGTGGTCCCAATCTTCAAGAAGGGAAAAAAGGATGACCCAAACAATTGACCAATGTCCGGTCAGCCTCACGTCGATACCAGGCAAGATTCTGGAAAAGATTGTTAAGGAAGTGGTCTGCAAACACTTAGAAACAAATGCGGTCATCGCTAATAGTCAACATGGATTTATCAAAAACAAGTCATGCCAGACTCATCTGATCTCTTTCTTCGATAGAGTTACAAGCTGGGTAGATGCGGGGAATGCCGTGGATGTAGCGTACCTGGATTTCAGTAAGGCCTTCGACAAGGTCCCCCATGACCTTCTGGCAAGGAAACTAGTCCAATGTGGGCTAGGCAAAACTACGGTGAGGTGGATCTGTAATTGGTTGAATGGACGAACCCAGAGGGTGATTCTCACCAAGGCTTCCTCTTCATCCTGGAAAGAAGTGACGAAGGGGAGTGCCGCAGGGTTCCGTCCTGGGCCCGGTCCTGTTCAACATCTTTATTAATGACTTAGATGAAGGGTTAGAAGGCACGATCATCAAGTTTGCAGACGACACCAAATTGGGAGGGATAGCCAATACTCCAGAGGACAGGAGCAGGATTCAAAATGACCGTGACAGATTAGAGAGATGGGCCAAAACTAACAAAATGAAGTTCAACAGGGACAAATGCAAGATACTCCACTTAGGCAGAAAAAATGAAATGCAAAGATACAGAATGGGGGACAATGACTGGCTCAAGAGCAGTACGTGTGAAAAAGATCTTGGAGTCCTCATGGACAACAAGTTAAACATGAGCCAACAATGTGATGTGGCTGCAAAAAAAGCCAATGGGATTTTGGCCTGCATCAATAGGAGCATAGTGTCTAGATCTAGGGAAGTAATGCTACCCCTCTATTCTGTTTTGGTTAGACCACACCTGGAATATTGTGTCCAGTTCTGGGCACCACAATTCAAGAGAGATATTGACAAGCTGGAATGTGTCCAGAGGAGGGCGACTAAAATGATCAAGGGTCTGGAGAACAAGCCCTATGAGGAGCGGCTTAAGGAGCTGGGCATGTTTAGCCTGAGGAAGAGAAGGCTGAGAGGAGATATGATAGCCATGTATAAATATGTGAGAGGAAGCCACAGGGAGGAGGGAGCAAGCTTGTTTTCTGCTTCCCTGGAGATTAGGACGTGGAACAATGGCTTCAAACTACAAGAAAGGAGATTCCATCTGAACATGAAGAAGAACTTCCTGACTGTGAGAGCCGTTCAGCAGTGGAACGCTCTGCCCCGGAGTGTGGTGGAGACTCCTTCTTTGGAAGCTTTTAAACAGAGGCTGGATGGCCATCTGTCAGGGGTGATTTAAATGCAATATTCCTGCTTCTTGGCAGGGGGTTGGACTGGATGGCCCATGAGGTCTCTTCCAACTCTTTGATTCTATGATTCTAGGGAATGAGCGACAGACACTAGCCATGTCACAGCCATTGTTTGCCACTATGACAAGAAGAGGAGAGGGATGAATCTATGAATCAGCTGGTTTTCCCTGTAATTGCAAGTAAGAGCACCTAAAGCTTCAGAGAGCTTCTGTTCAACCATTTCAAAGCTCCCCGCTTGAGCAGCGATGGCACAGCTGTCAGCATAGATGATACCCTCTGTCCCTTCTGGCAGTGATTGGTCACTTATGTAAATGTTGAACATTGATGGGGCAAGCACGCTCCCCTGAGGCAGGCCATTCTTCTGTTTTCGCTGCTTCTCTGGCCCTGGAATTCAACAAAAAGCTCCTGTTTTGTAGCAGATTTCCTATGGAGCGGGTGAGGTGGTAATCCTTTGTGATATTCTAAGTTTTTCCCAGGAGGAAGTGATGTTTTACAGTGTCATAAGCTGCTAACAGATCTATGAAGACAACTCCTGTAATCTGCTGCCTTTCAAAACCATCTTCTATGTGCTGAGTCAGGTTGAGCACTTGTGATGTGCAGCTTTTGCCTTTCCTGAAACCAGCTTGCTGTGGAATCATACATGCGTCTATTTTTTTTTTCTATAATTGTATGCAAAATAAGTCTCTTCAGAACTCTGTAGAGATGGCACAACACGGAGATTGGTCTATAGCTTTTTGGATCATTGTAGTCTCCTTTCAAGATTGATATGACTCTTGGTTTCCTCCAGATTTTAGGGATCTGTCAGGATGCAGTGCAGTTGTTCATCAGCTTCAGCAGCCAGCACCTTGCTTTTGGACCAAAGTTCTTAATTTGTTCCATCAGTAGATTGTTCAGGCCAGTTGCTTTTTACATTTATTGAGAAATGTCTCCAATCTGGTAGATGTAAAAGGTTCATGAAGGTTGTTCTCATTTTCTGGTTGTCTGACTACTGGTTTCTTTCCCACTTTGGTGGCAAGGTTGCTTTATGTTAGCATGAGTATTAGTTTGGGAGGAATCATTGCTGAGATGTCTTAACAGCCTCCACACCTTCTGACTACTCACCTTATAAAAAGTGTACACAGAAAGAATATGACCAATCCTACAATGCTTGGGGCATCCCACCATTGAGTTGGCTGTTCGCTGACAGAAGTACCATTCTGGTTGCCCTCTATTCGTACCAGCAGGGTTGGGTTGCAGTGTTTGTCTATGAAGAAATCAACAAAAACAGATAGAGCCCAAGCCATTTACAATTAAGAAATTAACAGGCCTCTTAAATGCACAAAACGCCAACTGCTCAACTCATGCCAAAGTGGCAATATCAATCTGGACACACAGAATGAAAAACACACTCAGGTGCTTTCCCTGCATTTAGAGGCCTCACATTTGCTTCATGGGAGAAATTTCTAGAACAGGAATGAAACCTGCAGGAGATATCCCATTATCCTTAATCATTAGCCATCCCGAGCAAGGCTGTGGGGAAACGATAATGCAATTACTGAGGCCTGCCATTTCCCCCATCTCTTCTTTAACACAGGGATGTGAAGATCTGACAGTTTCATTTCTGCCGTATTTCTCAAAATATCACTAGCACTGTGATATTCCTATCAAATCCTATATTCAGCTCTGCCTCTGCTTCCCACTTGGAAATGTGCTTATATTTTGATATTCATCGTGATTTAGGCATTCTTTCAGTGCACTTTGAAAGATGCAGTGTTGCCATGGGGCTGCAATGGCGCAACGGGTGAAACTGTTGAATTGTTGAATCTGTTGACCTAAAGATTGGCAGTTCGAAGCCGCAGGTCGGGCTGAGCTCCCGCTGTTAGCCCTAGCTCCTGCCAATATAGCAGTTTGAAAACATGCAAATGTGAATAGACCAATAAGTACCGCTTCGGCGGGAAGGGAATAAAGGCAGGCATGCAGGCAACACGTCCAGTGGTGTCTACGGGCAGCAAGGTCCACGGCTTGGAAATGGAACAAGAGCACCTCCCCATGGCCAGAACTGACCACCATCTCCAGAAGCCAGAGATGAAAGGGGAAGGCTTTACCTTTGTTCTGTGTATTTGTGTGTCATTTTTATTCCACTGGATTAAAGACATTTAATGTTTGCCTTTCTGTGTATGTTGTAATCTGCTCTGAGCCCTCTCAGAGATAGAGCAGAATATAAATAAAGTGTATTGTTTATGTATGTATGTATTAGCCCACAATTTCTCATTGGCTAAAGCAAAGTTAATAATCACAGGTTCTTCCCAATGTTGTTGGATTACATTTCCAAGGTTGTTCACCATTGGACATAGTGAAAAACCTTGGGCTGGCAAAATGTGCCATTCACCTTTTGGAGGGCTGCGTGATTCCTATCCCTCGACCATAGCAACCTTTTCCAGGCTGGGGGCCAATTTCATTTTGAAGAACTCTCCAGTCTCCTCCGGGGGGAGGGGAGGGCATGTGTTTTAAAGGCTGTTTTAATGGATTTGCTGTATTTTAATTTTGTTTTTACCACACTTATTATTTAATTGTTTTTAAACTTCTGTATTGCTCTTTTTAAACTGTCTAGTTTGGGTAGATGTTAGATCAGTGGTTCTCAACCTGGGGTCCCCAGATGTTTTTGGCCTTCAACTCCCAGAAATCCTAACAGCTGGTAAACTGGCTGGGATTTCTGGGAGTTGTAGGCCAAAAACATCTGGGGACCCCAGGTTGAGAACCACTGTGTTAGATGTTAGATGCTTTGAGACCCCATGTGGAGAAAGAAAGCCGGTATATAAACACAGATAACAACGGGTTGTTGTACGTTTGGCCATGTTCTAGAAGCATTCTCTCCTGACGTTTCTCCTGCATCTATGGTAAGCATCCTCAGAGGTTGTGAGGATAACAACAACAACAACAACAACAACAACAACAATCAACACTGAGTCCCCCCAGGGGTTGAGATGGGTGGGGTAAAAGTATTTTAAATAAATAAATAAATAGGGCAGGGCCAAAGGCAAGGGATGGGACTGAACGTATCGGCATATTTTTACCTTAAAGCTTTTCCTGCCAGTTACAAACCCTATGGATTTTTTTAAAATACAGAAGGAAGGAGGTTACCAAGTGTTGATATCACAGTAAAGGAATTCTGAGATTCTAGGAAAACTCAGGCCCTTCTACTCAGCCATATAATCCAGATTTTCAAAGCAAATAATCCACAGTATCTGCTTTGAACCAGATTATATGACTCTACACTGAAATATCATTCAGTTAAAAGCAGATAATCTGGATTTTATATGGCAGTGTAGGTGGGGCGCCAGAGGATCCTCTGAAGCCCGCATGAGAGTTGGGAGATACAGATACAGGGCCTGAGCTGCCCCCATCTCTGAGCTAGGACTATTACTACTATATTTTGTCTATATTTATATTGGTTTATGTCCCACCTTTCCCAAAATGTGGGGCTTATCATTAAAAAGAACAATGCAATTAAAGATGTACAAAGAGTGAAAAATAAAATAAAACGGAACTATTTACACCATTAGAACAGGTCACCTGCCATGCATAAAGAATAAAATGCTATTTAAAACAGTAAAGAAGCCCCTCCCCCAGGCATGGGCCAACTTGAGTCCTCCCTCCAGGTGTTTTGGACTTCAACTCCCACCATTCCTAACAGCTTACCGGAGAGAGAGAGAGTGAGTTGATGTATTTGCAGGGCAACAGACCTGCATGGAAAGCAGAAGTCTGGTCGCCTGCCACATTGAAAGGTAAGGATTGTGTTTTGGGTAAATATTGGAAGTATTGGGAAAGTGGAAGATTTGCAGGGAAGCAATCTGGCCTAAGTGCAGGTGTTCTTCTCCCGGAGATGGAGGAAGGATAGTGATGGATGCATGTCATGAAGTAATGTGTAAGTGCGAATGCTGCGTAATGTGGTAAAATCTCCTTTGTTGGTTAGCCAATGTAGCTGTATGTCTAATGCCGTTCTTTCTGTAAAAGAGGAAAAGTTGTTCTGATATACCAGGCCTGGGTCAACTTGGGCCATCCCTCCCTACAGGTACTTTGGACTGCAACTCCCACAATTCTTAACAGCCTCAGGCCCCTTCCTTTTCCCCCTTAGCCATTTAAGTGGAAAAGGAAAGGGAAAGGAAGGAGCCTGAGGCTGTTAGGAATGTTGGGAGTTCAAGTCCAAAACACCTGGAGGGAGGGAGGGCCCAAGTTGGCCCAGGCCTGTGATATACCCTCTTAGACCAAAATTGTAATAAAAAGAACTTTTGTTTAAAAAGTATTCATGAGACTCCACTAGTAATCTCTCTCCAGGATGAGAAGCCAGTTGCGATTTCTCCCTTTTTCCATTTTTTTAATATCTTTGCTCAGTTGAAAGTTCACACTCAGTTGAGCCAAAACTGGGATTGCCTTTGGGCAGCGTGAAATAGCTGCCTTAGGTAGTAGATATCAGGAATGGTGGGCAGACACTGCAGGGTAGATCACATTTTCTGCATGTGGAATGGAATGTTTTTTCTTTGCCACGAGCAGCAAAATGACGCAACACATTTTGTAAAGATCTTCCACGGCTTTAAAAACAGGGCATATCTTCTAAAAGTGGACCAAGAATATTGAAATGCTGCTTACCTGGTACATTTGCCAAGGCTGACCAGGTGACATACATGGTGTAGAGCGTGATGATGGAAGCTTGCAAGAGACCAGAGTGGGGCTGAGCATTCTATGAAAGAGGAGAAGTTGCTCCTGTTAAAGCACTGAAGCTGGAACAGACACACAGAAAGCCTCACCGTGCTACTGGAAACAGTAAAGCAATTGGGTGTTTTTTACGTTTGTCAGGCTTATGTCAAATGGCAAGACACATACAACATCTCTCCCAATGTAGTGGTCTGGAACCACATAAGGGGGAAGAAAGGAGACATAAAGACCAACCTAGAAGTTTCGGTTGGTAACTTCTGTTGCCAACAAGATGCTTGAACCAGGGCCGTAGCCAGAAAAAAAATTCGGGAGGGGTTGAAATTTCGGGGGGGGGGGTGGGGGGGGGGGTTGAAACCTGCCTCCTAGCTCACGCTGAAGCAAAGAGCACAGCAGGGGGCAGAGCAGCCTTCAATAACCTGCAGCTCCGCCCCTGTCAACCACCTCCACCAAGTCTGGCCTCCTTAATGAGAGCATTCAAACCCCCCCCCCAACTTGGTTGCTTCGCTACATCGGCTATTGCTGCAAGCAGGCCCGTAGCCAGGATTTCGATTTGGGGGGGGGCTGAGTTTAGGGGGGGGGGGGGGCTGAGTCTGAGTGAAAGAGGGTCTACCCTAGCAAACCTTTTGTATCGTTGCCCCAATACCCCCATGCATATGGGATATATTGAGTATGGTGATCAGATCATGATATGAATAAACATAACAGTTTAAATAATGCACCAGTAAGGCCTTTTCGCGAACCACCATGAGAATTTCGGGGGGGGGGCTGAAGCCCCTCAAGCCCCCCCCCCCCCCCCCCGGCTACATGCCTGGCTGCAAGTAATGACAATGTGAATAAGTTGTCAATATTTGCTTGAGATAGTGCTTGCAGTTCTGGAGGGACTCTTAATTATTTGCATCTCATAGACTTAGCATGGGGATTTGGTTAACCAGTTAAAATTCATGAGTAAACCAGTTTTTTTAAAAAAATCTGAAACATTTCAGGGGGGGGGTTGAACCCCTAAAATCCCCCCCTCGCTATGGGCCTGTTGAACACAGATAGCATATCGCAATGGGCAGTTGCAGGCCAGTGTGGTGTCATTGTTGGAATGCTGCATGGAACTTTGGTGATCTAGGTTCAGACCTTGAAAATGCCTTTGTGTGCCTCTCAGTTCATTTTGTCCCAGACTCACACAGATGAAGTGGGGATAAGTGGAACCACCCATATTCACTGGAGAACAAGAGGGGTAAAAACCTCAAAATTATATAATAACGTCTCTTGTCTGCAGGGTTTGATTGATTCCTGATCAACATAGCATCGCCAAAGATGCATAACTGTTACTGATATCACATTTACAGCGAAGACAGTCATGTCTTCTCTCTAATCATTTTCTTGACTTGTGAACCAAAATAAAATTTGTAAAAAATGGTCTTCAGGGTGTGCCAGTAGCTTTTTGGAGACTTGTCCAGAAGAACATTTTCAAAAAAACAAAAGCCACCTGCCATCTGAAGAGCACGACTCAGACATCAGGCACGCCTCAACTGCAGCCAGCCAGCCAGCCAGGTCAAGGCTGATCTGCTGAAGGCCCCAGGATACAAGGACCTGTTCAACAAGCCCTTTTCATCACTGGGAGTGGCAAAAAGGAGGAAAAAGATGACTGATTCAGGAATGGGGAAACACAGGCCTCCAGACATTACTGGTCTGCAGTACCCATCAAAGGTCAGGACTGTTGGGAGTTGAAGTCCAGCAACATCAGAAGGGCCACACTTTCCCAACCTCTGCTTCGTAAATGTTCCTCAGAGCTAGAAGAAGATGTCCTACAGCCAGAATGACCAATGACCCCTTTGAATTACTATGCTGGTTGTGAGAGTATTGAAGATTTCCTTCCTTCCTCCTTCTCTCTCTCACTTCTCCCTTCCCTTCTTTCTTCCTTCCCTTCTTTTTCTCCTCCTCCTCCTCTGTATTCCACTTTTATCTCACAACCAAGACACAACACAGCTCACTAACCAAGGAGCTTACCTGGATCTTGGGCAGAATGGACACTATGGACGCAATCACGCAAAAGATGAGATTAAGGCTGATCAATGCCTTGCCTTCTGTACAGCCATCTGACTTGGTGTAATACACATACAAGAGCACCACAGCAGCAATGGAGACTGCATAGAAAAGGAAAGTGAAGAAAAAGAGGCCTGGAAAAAAAGAAATATATGAGTACTGATTAGTTTGAGAGGTCCTTGTTCTTGGGCAGTCTGTTCTAGAAGCAAAACAAGGCAGAAAAACAATCCAACAATGGGAAAGAGTAGGGGGTGGCATGGGCGCAAAAATAGAGGGCACTACTCATAGGTTCAGGTTCTTATTTGAAGGGACAAGATGACAGCTTCCTTGTTGGAGTTATACTATGAGAAATACTTGAGAACTCACACAAGGTCAGAAGACATCTGGAGTGCCTTCAAAAAGATGTTTAAAACAGGTACAAGGAATTTGCAAGGGCCCTATCCTATCCACATGCTTTCATTGTCAAACACTGATCACAGATCACCCACAATGAGCAATTTCAAGCCCAGGAAGCTGCTACATGGAACAAAGCTTTGCTCAGCAACATTTTCTGTCCACTGTGTAGGATTTGAAATCTCTCACAAACTTCCCTTTTTTGTGCACAAAAATCTCCAGTGCTCCCATTGCTTTGTCAATATTCTTCTTCCAGGTACAGTTAAAAGTAGATCAAGGAGGAACGCCGGCTAGCTGCAACTGAGGGATAACGACTTTCATTGTTATTTCGAGGGAAATAAGAGAGGGGAAGGAGAGGGTCCAAAAGGAACCAGTCCCCCAGTATCACCAACATTGGCCACTGAGATTGGCAAGGCCTTTGGCTTTTGGTGGTGCCTAAGGTTTGTATTCTTCTTGTGGCGCCCTCACTGCCCAATGGCTATGGATTTGGCAACTGCTCTTCTCATTCATTCTGTTTCTTTGCTTTCTGACATGCCAAGCATTAGATTTATTCCAATCTGTGATATGCCATACCTTGAATATAAATAGATGAGTTCAGGTTGGCAAAGGAAAGAATAATTACACATGCACAGTGTAAACATTACTTTTAAAACCAGCCTACTCAAACAGGTAGGAAAGAAAATCAAAATGGGTATATTGGTAATAATAACTTTATTCTTGTGCCCCGCCACTATCTCCCCAAAGGGACTTACAGGCGGCCCAAAAGTGCCTAAAAACAGAGCATAAAATAAAACATAACATAAAATACAATTAAATAAAACAAATAAGCACATAAAACAACAACTTAAAACTCAGTTAAAATGGCAGCATTCTGGTGGTAGGCTGCTACAAACATGGCCAGGCTTTAAACAATGGGCAAGCGAATGGGATAAGTGCAAAGGTGCAACCATGTATGTAGGATGTAGGTTAGAAGCTTCTAGTATTTGGGCCTTACCTTCCATCACACATCCTGGAGAGTGCACACTGAAACAGTTCAAAAGGCAAAGGCCTGCCAAGCAACTATAATAAGGTTTTATTACACCAAAGAAGGACAGTGTGTGTGTGTGTGTGTGCATCCCCACACACTAAAATCTTTAATGCCAAAACAGCCTCTAAACTCCTCCTTGATGCACCAATATGGTGTGAAAATTCAACTGTAAACCTAGACGGGGTGCAAGCAAGATTTACAAGGTTGCGGGACATTGCCCTGGGAGAGCTTACAGCCTGCTCAAACTCACCATGCTCCCCCAGAGTCTTACACTTGCAGATTCTTTACAAAGGCGAGATTAAATGTATTTCCCTCAGAGCTACTTAGAGGCAGACTGTCTGGAATTCCCTACTCGCAAGGACTATTCAACGTTCAGCAGTGTGGTGGAGGCTCCTTCTTTGGAAGCTTTTAAACAGAGGCTGGATGGCCATCTGTCAGGGGTGATTTGAATGCAATATTCCTGCTTCTTGGCAGGGGGTTGGACTGGATGGCCCATGAGGTCTCTTCCAACTCTTTGATTCTATGATTCTATGAAGGAAATGAAGTAGAAACAATAGAATACATTTTATTGCAGTGCTGCTATTATACAGTGCAACATAGCCAACTTCTATATCCAACTGTGTCCCGCATGACCAGCCATCCCCATATGCAGGGGATTGTGAGATATCTTTTAGAGGACAAGTGCCACAGCATGACCCTCATAGTGTCAAAACTCCTCACAGTGGCAATAAGGCTGAGGAAGCAAGTAATCTTGGATAGGGATATGACTTGAAACCATGTGGTCTCTCCCCTGCTGAAGAAACCAGATTTAGATTCTTCGGTTCCCTCCATTTACTGCCCAGTTTCGAATCTCTCGTTCCTGTGCAAGGTGATTGAGAGGGCAGCAGCGGAGCAGTTGCAGCAATTCCTAGACGACACAGCCGGACTAGATCCCTTCCAGTCCGGCTTCCGTGTGGGGCACAGGACAGAGATGTGCTGGTCTCCATCACGGATCACCTTCGATGCCAGCTTGACCAGGGCGGGTCAGCACTGCTTGTGTTATTGGATCTCACAGCAGCATTTGACACAGTCGACCACAATCTTTTGACCGCCTTGCTGTTGCTGGAGTCAGGGGGACAGCTTTAAACTGGCCTGGTCTCTGAGAGGTCCCCTCTGTCTTGTGGGGTTCCTCAGGGGGCCATTCTCTCCCCTCTGTTGTTTAACATCTATATTTATTTATTTATTTATTTATTATTTAAACTTATATGCCGCCACTCCCCTGGGGCTCGGAGCGGCTTACAAGAATGGCTAAAATCTAACAAAATTTAAAAGCAATTTAAAACAATTTAAAAACAACACTATCAAACATTAAAAGCCTGTCGAAACAGGTATGTCTTACATGCCCTGCGGAAAGCTGGTAAGTCCCGCAGGGCACGAACCTCAGGTGGCAGAGCATATGCGACCACTTGCTCAGCTGGTTCGAGGTTTTGGGCTTGAGTGTTACCAGTACGCTGATGACACTCAGCTTGTATTGAAGATGGAAGGCCATCCGAATTCTGTATCCGATAATTTTCATCAGTGCCTTGAGGCTGTTACTGGATGGCTGTGTGCCAGCAGGTTGAGGGTGAATCCAGCAAAGACGGAGATCCTATGGCTGGGTCAACCAGGCAGTGGGGATATCCAGCTGCCTACCCTGGATGGCAAGGCGCTACACCCGTCATATTGGTAAAGAGTCTGGGAGTCCTTTTGGACCCTCTGCTGAAGATGGAGGCCCAGGTCTCCACCTTTAGCAGAACTGCCTTTTTTCATCTGCAGCAGGCTAGACGGCTGGCTCCCTACCTGTCCAGGGACGACCTAGCTACGGTGATCCAGGCTACGGTCATGTCAAGACTGGACTACATATCTATTTCGACGGGCCTTTGATCTCTGATTGTTTTTAAATTGTTTTAAATTGTTTTTAAATTGTGTTCGATTTTAGCCTGTTCTTGTAAGCCGCTCCGAGCCCCAGGGGAGTGGCGGCATATAAGTTCAAATAATAAATAAATAAATAAATAAATAAATAATGTATATTGATCTGGGAAAATGTACCTTCTCATGAGGAGTTGGCAGCGATGAAGCGAAATAAGAGAAGGCTAGAGTGCGTGTGGCGCCAGAGACCTACCAAATCAGCCCAAACACATCTGAATGCCTTTTTAAGGTCCTATGATGTGGCAATAGCGGTGGCACAGAAATCATTTCTTGCTGCCAATATTGCATCTGCGAAGAATCGTCCAGCTGAGCTATTCCGAGTTGTCAGGGGTCTGTTAAATCCGCCGAAAAGTGAGATCCCTGATGACTCAGGGGCTCGCTGTGAAGCATTTGCTCGATTCTTTGCAGATAAAGTTGCGCTGATTCGGTCAGGTTTTGGCGCCATATTAACAGCGGTCTCTGGGGATGTAACACGAGCATCTGCTTGTCCGGTTTTATTGGATTCATTTCAATTGGTTCAGCATCCTAGATCCCTGTCCATCCTGGCTGATAAAAGAAGCCAGACGGGGCTTGGCAGCGTGGGTGAAGGTGGTAGTTAATGCCTCCTTACAGGAGGGAAAGTTTCCAGCGAGCTTAAAACAAGCTATTATAAAACCGCTGTTGAAAAATCCATCACTGGACCCCACTCAATTAGACAACTTTCGGCCAGTTTCCAACCTCCCCTACTTGGGCAAAGTCATGGAACGTGTGGTGGCAACACAACTCCAGGGATTTCTGGTAGACACTGATTATCTAGATCTGGCACAGTCTGGCTTTAGACCGGGACATGGAACTGAGACAGCCTTGGTCACCTTGGTAGATGATCTTCCCCGGGAGCTGGACAGGGGGAGTGTGTCCCTGTTAGTTCTGCTGGACCTCTCAGCGGCTTTCGATACCGTCGACCACGGTATCCTTCTGGGACGCCTTGTAGACATGGGATTTGGGGGTACTGCTCTGCAGTGGCTCCAGTCCTTTCTCGAGGGATGGTCTCAGAAGGTGTTACTGGGTGCACCTGTTCGGCCCCACAACCATTGTTGTGTGGAGTCCCACAGGGTTCAATTCTGTACCCGATGTTGTTTAACATCTACATGAAGCCGCTGGGGGAGATCATTTGGAGTTTCGGAATGAGGTGTTATCTCTATGCAGATGATGTCCAAATCTGTCACTCCTTTCCACCTGTCACTAAGGAGGCTGTCCAAACCTTGAACCGGTGCTTGGCAGCTGTGTCGGACTGGATGAGAGCTAACAAATTGAAACTGAATCCAGACAAGACAGAGGTCCTACTGGTCAGTCGTAAGGCCGTACAGGGCATAGGGTTACAGCCTGTGTTAGACGGGGTTACACTCCCCCTGAAGACGCAGGTTCGCAGCTTGGGAGTGATCCTGGACTCATCGCTGAGCCTGGAACCCCAGGTTCCCTGGAGACTAGGACGCGGAACAATGAAAGGAGATTCCATCTGAACATGAGGAAGAACTTCCTGACTGTGAGAGCCGTTCAGCAGTGGAACTCTCTGCCCCGGAGTGTGGTGGAGGCTCCTTCTTTGGAAGTTTTTAAACAGAGGCTAAATGGCCATCTTTCAGGGGTGATTTAAATGCAATATTCTTGCTTCTTGGCAGGGGGTTGGACTGGATGGCCCATGAGGTCTCTTCCAACTCTATGATTCTATGATTCACTCCAAAATCAAATTTACAGGGAACATTAGTTCCACAACCCTGGTTTTCCTGGATGTCCTGGTTATAAAAGAAAATGATGGATTGAAAGTGAAAAACCACCGTAAAACCACTGATAGAAACTCATTGTTACATTATAATAGTTACCACCATTGGGCATTAAAAAATAATTTACCCTTTACACAGATGCTCAGGATTAAACGCAATTCCTCGACCCAACAGGACTTCAATGATGAGATCTTTTTAAAAGGTTGCCAGTATTTCCAGATCTAAACTCTTAGAGGACAAAATTAGACCAAAAGTTGAAAGATTGATATGGCCACTTAGAAATATGTCCAATCTGGCCATTAAAACAGTTAGTAAATACTGGAATCTGATAAAGCATATCCCAGGATGTGAGAGACCCCCACTGATAGCATATAAAAGAAGAAAGAACATTGGAGATATATTGATACATTCAGATGTAACACACAATGCCCAGACTATCAAGCCCAATTTGGTGGGCAATTACCGATATCATCGTTGTTCACTGTGTCACCAATTGGTGGACACTAAAATCTTCACACACCAACATCTATCATTTGAAATTAAATTCTCCCGTTTTGCAACCTGCATAACTAGGGGGACAATTTATATGATCAGTTGTGAATGTGATCTCTCATATGTGGGTCACACTCAACAAGAAGTAAAATCTAGGATCATTAAACATAAGAGTAAAATCACTCCAGAGAGTCAATAATTTACAAACATTTTGATGAGTTACAGCATAACCCAGAATCATTTAAATACCATATACTAGAAGTGGTTACACAATCCAAAAATAAGGACTTCAACAATAAACTCCTACAAAGAGAAACATATTGGATCTTCAGATTATGGACACAACATCCAAATGGTTTAAATGAACCAAATTTGTATAGTTGTTACATATAATTCTCTGGTTACTAGGGCTGGGCGGTTTCGTTTCGTTAATTCGTAATTCGTTAATAATTCGTTAATTTTTTCAATTACAAAACGATAACGAACCATTCTGGAGCAATTTTTTTTAAAAAAACGAATTTTTAAATAGTTTTGTAAATGCTTCGTATTTCGTTATTGTATTCGTTTCGTTATTGTTTTGAGGTCGTTTCGTTATTATTTCCGCATGTCTGGGGCAAGTTTTATGGTTGTTTTTGTTTAATTAGTGAAAAAAAATTATAATATCACACCAACAGTCAACAACAGAGGGAGAGGGAAGCTTCAGAAGTTTTTGGAGGTTTTTTAGCGTATTTGGCGGTCGCGTCCGCCATTAACGAATCGATTTGTTATTGTTTCGGAAATCGATTCGTTAATGTTTTGTAATTTTTTTCACATTTACGAAATTTCGTAAATATCGAACTTTTTAAAAGGAAAATTTTGTAATTATTTTAAATAACAAAACGCAAAAACCCCCAAAAAACGAATCGATTTTAGAAACAAATTTTTCTGTTGTTACCCAGGCCTACTGGTTACACTATACATCCTTATTTGAGCACATTGAGGGCACTCACAGCACCATCTGGTGTTTACTTTTTTCATTCCTACAGCTTTAAATGAGCTTCTCTGTCACCTTAACATTGTAAGTATATCTTCCCCCCTTTAAATTGAGGGAACTCCCATACGTTCTTCATATTCACAATTAGAATTAAACATACAGCAGAGTATCCCGTGAGTACACATTTATTCTGTGAAATACATTCATATATTGATAAAACACTTATTTTCTGTATATGTAACTTTCAAATGCTTACAGCCACTTTTTGTTCCTTTGATCTAGATTCCAGTAAGTATAAAAACCTGTATCTCTAAGGAGAACAAGTGTCAGGTGTATAACTTTGTAAGTACCTTCAAATGTGTTTTATTATATGATGTTTAATAAATATATTTGTAGCAATTGTCGATGTATATATCAATTTCAGACCACCAGAGGAAGGCCTGGTGTAAGTCCAAAACTGCTTGTGAGCGGCTGATTCATGTTCAACTTGGCATAAGAACACACAACGTCCATGCCATTTCAGAGTGATTGTACAAAATCCATACAATATCGTTTGTGATTACTGTGAATTTGATTCATGTTCAACTCGGCGTAAGAACACACAACATCGATACCATTTCAGAGTGATTGTACAAAACCCATACAATATTGTTTGTGATTACTGTGTATTTGAACAGTATAATGAGTTTCAACATTCATATTATTCGCTGTATTTATTTATTTTCTATTTTGTATATAAGTGGGCTATTTTGTTGAGATTACTAACTCAGGAACCCATTCATATTGTACTTTCCACAGCAACATGTGGCAGAGGACGGCTACTTTTTATGAAATGTGTGTTAAAGAAATAGAGAGGAAGACTTAGTTGTAACAATGATAACTTTGTAAAAGAACTCCCCCTACATTACCCAAAAACCCTCTCGGTTTTCTCCTTGCAACGTAACAGACACTTGTAAAGATGCAACTAACCAATAACTCCAAATTTTTCCTTTTCCTTCCCTTGTCTCCCCCCCCCCCCCCCCCCCCCCCCCCACCAGCCGCCACTTTCCTAGTAAATGTTTAATTAAAATTATTTGGGGGAAAAATCCCTCAAAATTACAGCGCTAACATCAACAAATCCTTAAACACTCATAGTTGTGTCTTGCACCTAAATGAAACCATTGAGTTTGTTAAACATGCATGGCACACAGACATACACATTTTGTCATGTATGGACTTGTGGTCTTTGCATACCTGCATACCAGGACTTGCTATTGCCTTCATCTGCATTTCGCAGCCAAATTTGACTCCAGGAATGGGCAAAGTCAATCAACAGGATAAGCTGGATGAGGATGAAGAGGAAAGAGCCAACCACACCAAAGTAGAACCAGACTGAGTTGAGAGGGGAAAAAAGGAGAGGAATTACAAACTATTTCCAATAACTATGTCGCACACAAATGTTTTTTAAACACTAAATAAACATATTCTGATATAGAACTTTTTCTTCCAGGTAGAGCAGGTATGGGCAAACTTCGGCTCTCCAGGTGTTTTGAACTTCAGCTTCCACAATCCCTCACAGCCTGTAGGTAGGCTGTTAGGAATGGTGAGAGTTGGTCCAAAACACCTGGAGGGCCAAAGTGTGCCCATGACTGATTTAGAGGCTTTTAATCAAATGATTGTCAGACGTATATTTATTTATAGGCTAGAATTCTATCCTGCATTTCTTCCAAGAAGCTCAAATGATGAAATGCAACTTTCCTCAGTCACCAATTAATCCTCCTAAGAATTCAAGTTCAAGATCATTCAGTAAGATTCAAGATTGAACATGGATTTCCTAAAACCTACAGCAACCATATACCATATTTTCCGGCATATAAGACGACTGGGCGTATAAGACGACACCCAACTTTTCCAGTTAAAATATAGAGTTTGGGATATACTCACCATATAAGACTACCCCTCTTCCAACGCACACTAAATAAAAATTTTAAAAGCATCAGATTTGATTTCAATATTACTGTACCTCCTTCTCTGCCTCTCAGATCTCATACATGTGTACCTGCACCACTTCACTGCAGTCTTCAGGAGCGAGATCTGAGAGGCAGAGGAGGAGGTACGGTAATAGGATACAAAAGCGGGCCAGACAGGTAAAAGAGTTGTGTTTTTCTGGGCCCAGAGCCACTCTATCTCTTTTTTCCATACCCTGGGTGCCCCGGACGCCTGCAGCTTGCTCCACCCTTCACTTACACCTTTCCAGTGAGGCACCCCTTCACCTCACCATCAGGACCACATTAAGTCCACAAATCTTGATGAATGGATTTTCTTCTACCGTACTTGTACAGCATTGCCCTTAATGCTTTCATACGGTCGCTGCATATGGCAGGGACTCGGCCACTGCCATTTTTGAGCTCCCCCCACCGTATGCAGCAACCACAGATTCTCCAATCTGGATTGGAAATGTCAGCACCCGCTCTATAAGACGACTCCCACGTACAAGGCTACTCCCATGTATAAGACGACCCCTGACGTCTGAGAAGATTTTCTTGGATTAAAAAGTAGTCTTATACGCCAGAAAATACGGTACTAATTCTGGCTTAAAATCAAATAATTGCCCCAGAGATGATGCAGCACTGTGGCTAAACACATCACCATAAGTAGAAAATGCTTGCAAGATGACTGTATCCAAGCCACTCACTCTCAGACACAGCCCAAGCTCTAATATCTAAGATAATAATGCTAATGTGCTTTATGGGGTTGTTGCCAGGGTTACAACAAGATCATGCACATGAAGTACTTCCAGTTCTACTCATTGTCACTTCATTCCACAATCACTCCAAAAATCAAGAGTGGGGTATAAATATAATAATAATAATAATAATAATAATAATAATAATAATAATTGTATATTTCAAATTGTATGCTAATGCTTTTATGTCAAGCTGTTTTTGGGAACTCAAAACAGCAAATTACTTTTACTATTTATACCCTGCTTTATCTCTCCCAAGAGCCCTAGGTGGAGCAGTGGGTTAAACCGCTGCGTTGCTGAACTTATTGACCGAAAGGTTGCAGGTTCGAATCCGGGGAGCGGTGTGAGCTCCCGCTGTCAGTCCCAGCTTTTGCCAACCTAGCAGTTTGAAAACATGAAAATGTGAATATATCAATAGGTACTGCTCCAGCAGGAAAGGTAATGGCACTCCATGCAGCCATGCCAACCACATGACCTTGGAGGTGTCTACGGACAACACCAGCTCTTCGGCTTAGAAATGTAGATGAGCACCAACCTTCAGAGTTGGACATGACTGGACTTAATGTCAGGGGAAAACCTTTACCTTTACCTTTACTTTATCTCTCCCAAAGGGGACTCAAAGCAGCTTGATATAAAACCATCAGCATACCATTTAAAATAAACAAATATGCAAACATTAAAACAAAGTTAAATATAAATAGTCTTTTAAAAAATCCCAGTGAAAAATCATTAAAGCCTATTCAAACCTATGTGTTAAAAACCACAGAATAGGAGTATAAGAACTACTTTACGGTTATTAAGACTTGCAATCAAAAGCTATGCTGAAGCTCTTTCACCATTTAAAGTAATTCACCCATATACATGTGTATAACAATATGGTTGGTCTAAACGACAAGCTTCATTAAGTCATAGGTGCAATGAGAACAGGCAAACACGTTAGATAACTCGGTCCTTCAGAGAAGCCACACACCACCGCCCCCTTGACTTTCCACCATAATAATGTGTAGTCCAGCAAACATACTTACTTACCAGGTCTATAGATCCAGAAACTCATGCATGAATGAAAATACAGAACACTTTGGTCAGGTGTTTATTCAATAGGAGGGCTTGACAATAGAACAGACATGATATTGATGTTTAATGATTTGTGATGCTATTGCTTTTAAATGCGTAATGATTTTGTATTGTGTATACCTAAATTGTTGTAAACCGCTCTGAGTCGCCTAAGGGCTGAGAAGAGCGGTATACAAATAAAGTAAATTAATTAATAAATAAACCCTGCCCATAAGCATGAGGTGGGTTCAAATATTTACTTCCTCCAGGAATATTACAGCATTCTGTATTATACTGCAAGTCCTTCAATGAACCAACAGGAGAAGTAAAACCAACAGTGAAAAGAAAGCAGGATTCAACAGCAAGGAACATTTCAGCCACCTGGCGGCTGACTTTTGTTTTATTGTACAATAGTGAGAGGGCATTTTATGTATGGATGTTATATAATCTAGGATCCATCATATAATTTCTTCCTAATATTGAAGTATTAAGACAGAGAGATAAATAGAGAGAGGTTAGGGGCACTGAATTCAGGTCATTTTAGACGTTCTAGGTGGTATCTTGGGGAATCAATATTTATTTTATTATTTATTTATAACTTTTTTATCCCATTCTTCTCTACCTCCGTGGAGGGACTCAGAACGGCTAACAGCAAGAATTCAATGCAAACAATAAATAAAATTTTAAAAGAATGACAGATAACACATTAGAGCAGGCATGGGCCAACTTTAAATAAATAAATAAATAAATAAATAAATAAATAAATAAAAATAAATAAATAAACTTCAGCCAGGTGTTTTGGACTTCTACTGGCTGTTAGAAATTGTGGGAGTTGAAGTCCAAAACACCCAGAGGACTCAAGTTTGTCTAGGCCTGCATTAGAGACTGTAATTTGGAAAGACAAACAGCTCGAAGCTGTGCTAAACCGGTTCATTTTTGTAGACCTATCACACTCCGCCTCTAGAGCACGGGTTCTCAAACCATTATAGTCCTCTTTGGGGCTCCATGGTGCCATGCTGCTTCCCTCCTCCTCCTCAGAAATGCAGGGAAATTAAAGTTTGGAGCTGACAAAACAGCAGCAGCAACATGCCAGAATAAAGCGGGTAGGACTGGATGGCCTCCAGGATTTCTCCTATTATTTTTATTATTGTTGCAAAGGCTGGATGGCCCCTGGGGTTGCTCCTATTATTATTATTAATATTATTATTATTATTATTATTATTATTATTATTATTATTATTATATCATCATCATCATCATCATCATCATCATCATCATCATCACCACCACCACCACCACCACAAAGGCTGGGTGGCCATCTGTTGTGGGTGGTTTAATTGTACTTTTCATGGATGACCGAATAAAGGGGGTTGGACTGGATGGCCCCTGGGGTCTTCCAATGAAGTACTAATAAGTTCATGTTGGTTAAAATTGCTCTTCATTTTATTGTTCTCCCCCCCCCCTTTTGCACTACAAACAAGAAGTGTCCTGTGTGCATAGGAACTTGTTCATTTTTTTTTTCAATTAGTTCACACAAATACTCTCCATCCATCTGCCACTGGCCCACCCTGTCAAATTTTAAAATGCAATGTGGCCCATGTTCAAAAGTTTGCCCATGCCAGATATATACATACAGTGGGGGGGGGGGGGGGGTTTGTGAGATACCAATTGTACAAGTTCTCCCATTTAAAAAAGATGACAGAGGCCTGTAAATGACATCATCGGTAGACCTCAACTATGAGAGACAACATGAGTAAACACATCCAGAAAATCACAGTCTGGTTTGTATCAAATTCATTTGCAAATTATGGTGGAAAATATGTAGGGGTCTTTGATCCCCTACAAACAAGCAAGATTTCTGGGTCTCACAGGCCTGTAACTTCTTCTTTCTGAGGCTCCTCTGTCCTCCACTCATTACCTGTAGTAATGGCACCTATTTGAACTTGTTCTCAGTATAAAAGACCCCTGTCCACAACCTCAAGCAGTCACACTCCAAACTCCACTATGGTGAAAGCCAAAGAATCATAGAATCAAAGAGTTGGAAGAGACCTCATGGGCCATCCAGTCCATCCCCTTGCCAAGAAGCAGGAATATTGCATTCAAATCACCCCTGACAGATGGCCATCCAGCCTCTGTTTAAAAGCTTCCAAAGAAGGAGCCTCCACCACACTCGGGGCAGAGAGTTCCACTGCTGAACGGCTCTCACAGTCAGGAAGTTCTTCCTCATGTTCAGATGGAATCTCCTCTCTTGTAGTTTGAAGCCATTGTTCCGCGTCCTAGTCTCCAGGGAAGCAGAAAACATGCTTGCTCCCTCCTCCCTGTGGCTTCCTCTCACATATTTATACATGGCTATCATATCTCCTCTCAGCCTTCTCTTCTTCAGGCTAAACATGCCCAGCTCCTTAAGCCGCTCCTCATAGGGCTTGTTCTCCAGACCCTTGATCATTTTAGTCGCCCTCCTCTGGACACATTCCAGCTTGTCAATATCTCTCTTGAATTGTGGTGCCCAGAATTGGACACAATATTCCAGATGTGGTCTAACCAAAGCAGAATAGAGGGGTAGCATTACTTCCTTAGATCTAGACCAGGGCCGGCTCAACCGTTACGCAAAGTAAGCCGTTGCGGAACACTTCATTTCAGCCAGGGGCGCCTCCTCCTCGCCCCTCTGCTGCTCTGTGGCTAAAAGGGTTCCTTCCTCGCAAGGCTGGGCTTCCAAGCCTGGCGCCCAGCCTGGGGAGGAAGGAGCACGGAGCAGCAAAGGTGCGAGGGGGAAGCTGCCACCGCTGAGGCCCTCTTCAGCAGGAGCCTCCTCCTCGCCCTTCTGCTGCTCCATGGCTAAAAGATCCCTTCCTCGCCAGGCTAGGCTCCCAAGCCTGGCGCCCAGCCTGAGGAGGAAGGAGGATGTAGCAACAGAGGTGTGAGGGGGAAGCGGCTGCCGCTGAGGCCCTCTTCGGCAGCAGCCTCCTCCTCGCCCTTCTGCTGCTCCATGGCTAAAAATTCCCTTCCTTCCCGGGGCTGGGCTCCCAAGCCTGGCGCCCAGCCTGGGGAAGAAGGAGCACGGAGCAGCAAAGGGGCGAGGGGGAAGCTGCCGCCGCTGAGGCCCTCTTCGCCAGTAGCCTCCTCCTCGCCCTCAGCGGCAGCAGCTTCCCCCTCGCCCCTTTGCTGCTCCGTGCTCCTTCTTCCCCAGGCTGGGCGCCAGGCTTGGGAGCCCAGCCTGGCGAGGAAGGGAATTTTTAGCCATGGAGCAGGAGAAGGCGGAGGAGGAGGCGTTGGCGCCCAGAGCCTCCTCCTCGCTCTTCTGCTGCTCCGTGGCTAAAAGTTCCCTTCCTCCCCAGGCTGGGCTCCCAAGCCTGGCGCCCAGCTTGGGGAGGACGGAGGAGCAAAGAGCGAGGGGGAAGCTGCCGCCGCTGAGGCCTTCTTTGCCAACAGCCTCCTCCCCACCCCTCTGCTGCTCTGTGGCTAAAAGGGTCCCAAGCCTGGGGAGGAAGGAGCACGGAGGGTCAAGGGGGAAGCCGCCGCCACCAATGCCCTCTTTGGCAGCGGCCTCCTCCTTGCATAGATATATATGTATACATATATATATATACAGATGTGTGTGTGTGTGTGTGTGTGTACACACGCACACATACATATACATACACAGGCCTGGGCCAATTTCGGCCCTCCTTCCAGGGTCATTTGGGAATTGTAGTTGCTGGGATTATAGTTAACTAAGATCAAAAAGCATTCTGAACTCCACCAATGATGGAATTGATCCAAATTTGGCACACAGGACTCCCATGGCCAACAGAAAATATTGAAAGGGTTTGGTGGGCATTGACCTTGAGTTTTGGAGTTGTAGTTCACCTACACCCAGAGAGCACTGTGGACTCAAACAATGAAGGATTTAGATCAAACTTGGCACAAATACTCCATGTGCCCAAATGTGAACACCTGTGAAGTTTGGGGGGAAATAGATCTTGACATTTGAGAGTTGTAGTTACTGGGATTTATAGTTCAGTTACAATCAAAGTACATTCTGAACCCCACTAACGATACAATTGGGCCAAACTTCCCACATTGAATCCCTCATGACCAACAGAAAACACTGTTTTCCAGTGGTCTTTGGCGACCCTTCTGACACCTCCTCATGATCCCCCCAGAGGTCTCAACCCCCAGGTTGAGAAATGCTTCCTTATAGCCAACCAGACCAACTCCCTTCACCAGAGCAAGAAAACAATCAAAGCCCTCCTGACAAAGAGCCATCTTGCCATAGATATAGATAGATCTATAGGATTCAAACACACACATACACACACGGAAGATATAATATCATAGATGTGAAAGAGATCCCTAAAGAAGGAGAATGATATGTTTTATGTTCCAGAGTAGGCAAACCAGACAATCACTACATTAACACTGACAAAGAAACAACAAGAAATACTGTTTACCCACAAACATCAAGAAATTACATAAGAAACCAACTTTCTCATTACTTTCTTTTCAAGATGACCAGACTGGATCATAGCAACGCGTGGCAGGGGATGGCTAGCATATATATATATATGGCATGGACCAACTTCGGCCCTCCATGTGTTTTGGACTTCAACTCCCACAATTCCAAACAACCAGTAGGAAGTCCAAAATACCTGGAGGGCCAAAATTTGTCTATGCCAATATCTATCTATCTATCTATCTATCTATCTATCTATCTATCTATATATCAGTGATTGGTTGGGGAGGGGGGGCACCAAAATACTGTTTGCTTACCATTGAAAATTACCTAGGACCGCCTCTGATCTAGACACTATGCTCCTATTGATGCCGGCCAAAATCCCATTGGCTTTTTTTTTGCCGCCACATCACATTGTTGGCTCATGTTTAACTTGTTGTCCACGAGGACTCCAAGATCTTTTTCACACATACCAAGTCTCATCATATTGGGAGACTTCAATATACATGCAGATAGGTTGTTGTCTTCTCCGATAGCAAGGGACCTAGTACAATCTATGGAAACAATAGGCTTCTCATTAATGGTGACCGGTCCTACTCATCGAGCTGGGCACACCTTGGACTTGATTTTTAGTATCGGAATACAAGTGACTCTATCTTCAGTCTTAGAGATTCCTTGGTCTGACCACTACATCCTGAACACTCAAATAGAGATTCCACCACCACAGCGTCCGTTGATTGAACAAATTTTCATGCGGCCGAGGAAGCCATCAGTGACACACTATGCCGCCAGGGACTCAGATCCTTCAGTGCCAGACGTGTTCCCCTGCTTAAGCCATTACATGACCGGGGCTGACTGAGGTTTGCTAGAGAGCATTTGGATGATCCAGAAGAGTATTGGGAGAATGTCATATGGTCAGATGAAACCCAAGTAAAACTGTTTGGCAGAAACACAACTCGTTGTGTTTAGAGGAGAAAGAATACTGAGTTGCATCCAAAAAACACTATACTACTACAAAGCATGGGGGTTGCAACATCATGCTTTGGCGCTGTTTCTCTGCAAAGGGACCAGGGTGATTGATCCGTATGCATGAAAGAATGAATGGGGCCATGTATCATGAGATTTTGAGTGCAAACCTCCTTCCATCAGCAAGGGCACTGAAAATAAAACGTGGCTGGGTCTTTCAGCATGACAATGATCCCAAGCACACTGCCAGGGCAACAAAGGAGTGGCTTCGTAAGAAGCATTTAAAAGTCCTGGAGTGGCCTAGCCAGTCTCCAAATCTCAACCCTATAGAAAAACTTTGGAGGGAATTGATAGTCCGTGTTGCCCAGTGACAGCCCCAAAACATCACATCAGGAGATCTGTATGGAGGAAAGGGCCAACATACTAACAACGGTGTGTGCCAACCTTGTGAGGACTTAGAGATAAAGTTTGACCTCTGTCATTGCCAATAAAGGATATATAACAAAGTATTGAGATGAACTTTTGTTATGGACCAAATACTTATTTTCCACCATAATTTGAAAATAAATTAGTTAAAAATCAGACAATGTGATTTTCTGGATGTGTTTTCTGATGTTGTCTCTCATAGTTGAGGTCCACCTATGATGTCAATTACAGGCATCTCATCGGTGGCGCAGTGGGTTAAACCCCTGTGCCGGCAGAACTGAAGACCGACAGGTCGCAGATTCGAATCCAGGGAGAGGCGGATGAGATCCCTCTATCAACTCCAGCTCCTCATGCGGGGACATGAGAGAAGCCTCCCACAAGGATGATAAAAACATCAAATCATCCGGGCGTCCCCTGACAACGTCCTTGCAGATGGCCAATTCTCTTACACCAGAAGCAACTTGCAGTTTCTCAAGTCACTCCTGACATGACAAAAAAAAATCTTTTTAAGTGGGAGAATTTGTACAATTGGTATCTGACTAAATACTTTTTCCCCACTGTATATATACACATTATATATAATATAATATAATATGTATAATGTATACAATCATTTCTTGGGGCTCCATGAGAAACATTTCCTTCAAAAAGGGCTCCGTGGTTGAAAAAGGTTCAGAAGCCCTACTCTCTAGTGTCCCATGTCAATCTCCCACCTCCCAAATGCAACATACCACGAATGTGCCTGGCTCAAGTTCTTTAAAGAAAAAAAAAGGCAGGATCATCAACTATAAACGGACTCAGTTGACTTAATCCAGGCATAGACAAATTTCCAGGGAAGCTGGTTGGGATTTCTGGGAGTTGAAGTCCAAAACACATGGAGGGAGGGCCAAATTTGGCCCATGTTTGATCTAACTGGTACTGAAGCAATATCTAATCTGACTATCCTTTCTGATGGAGAGCTTCCTAAGGATTGTGTGTCCTTTGAATGGTGACTCACTCAATAACATAATAATTACCCTTCTAGCAGCAGTTGCAAAAGCTCAAAAAGTGCAAGGTATTATGGAAACTGCTTCTGTTCCTTGCCTTGCACAGGACACATTCAGGCCAGCATTTTCTGGCAGGTGTCAAAACAAGGTGTCTGACTGGAGGCAACTGGGTCTGTAAACCCCATTCTGTTTTAATTTATGCACAATACAACAGATCTGTGACATTATAGGAAATAAAAGCAGAAGCAGCTTACTTCACCCTTCACACCACTGCTGCTTCCCATTGTAGGAAAGCAAAGCCTCAGTCAAGCCAGCACCAGCTCTGGGCACCATCTGTTTCCATGGCTTTCATGTAGTATATTCTCCCACCATACTTAACGTAATGAACTCAAACCACAATTTTACCTTACAGACCCTCTATACAAACACAAGGTTTCACGTACCATGTGAGAATGGCTTATCAGGAATATAGAAGGCACCCACAGTTATTCCAACCAGAATCAGGAACTTGAAGAACCAAAACCTGAAATGGAGAACGAGAAGAAAGAACACATTTATATAAAGAAGGGTCTCGGGCAGCATCGATAACGGAACAGTACCAAAGTCCTTAGTCCAAAGGGGAGGCAATAAAGGCCCCTTTCACACATTGAACTGGATGATATGGCAGTGTGGACTCAGATAATCCAGTTCAAAGCACATATTGTGGATTATCTGCCTTGATATTCTGGATTCTATGGGTGAGACAAGGGTGCATTTTAGCCCCTTTTCTCTTTAACTTATTTATTTATTTATTTACCGCATTTGTATACCGCCTTTCTCAGCCTATCAGCGACTCAAGGCGGTTTCCAACAAAACAGTATACACAGTATCATAGAACAATTTAAAAACATTACAATTACATAAAACGCAACAGCAATAAAAGCAACATCATTAGCGTCTCCTTATTGTCAAGCATTGTCCAGTTCCATCGTCAATCGTCCATTCCTATATCATTTATCCATATCCGTTACTGTGTTTGAGAACGCTTGCTCAAACAGCCATGTTTTGACTTGCTTACGAAACGTGAGGAGGGAGCAGATCTAATCTCTCTAGGGAGGGCATTTCATAGCCAGGGGGCTACCGCTGAGAAGGCCCTGTCTCTCGTCCCCACCAAACGTACCTGAGACGAAGGCAGGACTGAGAGCAGTGCCTCCCTGGACGATCTCAAGGTCCTTGATGGTTCATAAGGGGAGATACGTTCGGACAGGTAAGTTGGGCCAGAACCGTTTAGGGCTTTATAGGCCAAGGCCAGCACTTTGAATTGGGGCCGGTAGCAAACCGGCAACCAGTGGAGCTGACGCAACAGCGGGGGTTGTATGCTCCCTGAGAGCCGCTCCTGTTAACAATCTGGCTGCCGTTCGTTGGACTAATTGAAGCTTCTGGACTGTCTACAAAGGCATCCCCACGTACAGCGCATTGCAGTAGTCTATATGGAATGTAACTAGAGCGTGTACTACTGTGGCCAAGTCAGACTTCCCAAGGTATGGGCGCAGCTGGTGCACAAGCGTTAATTGTGCAAATGCTCCCCTGGTCACCGCCGAAACCTGAGGTTCCAGGCTCAGCAATGAGTCCAGGATCACACCCAAGCTGCGAACCTGCATTTTCAGGGGGAGTGTAACCCCATCCAACACAGGCTATAACCCTATGCCCTGTTCGGCCTTGCGACTGACCAGGAGTACCTCTGTCTTGTCTGGATTCAATCTCAATTTGTTCGCCCCCATCCAGATCGTCACAGCGGCCAAGCACTGGTTCAGGACTTGAACAGCCTCCTTAGTAGCAGGTGGAAAGGAGTGACAGAGTTGGACGTCATCCGCGTACAGATGGCACCGCACCCCAAAACTCCAGATGATCTCTCCCAGCGGCTTCATGTATATGTTGAACAACATGGGGGACAGTATGCAACCCTGAGGAACCCCACAAGACAATGGTTGTGGAGTTGAACAGGTGTCCCCCAATAACACCATCTGGGTGCGACCCTCCAGAAAGGACCGGAGCCACTGCAGAACAGTGCCTCCCAGGCCCATTCCAGTGAGGCGTCCCAGAAGGATACCGTGGTCAATGGTATTGAAGGCCACTGAGAGGTCCAGCAGAAACAACAGGGACACACTCCCCCTGTCTAGCTCCCGGCGCAGATCATCAACTAAGGCAACCAAGGCTGTCTCGGTTCCATGTCCCAGTCTAAAGCCAGACTGTGCCAGATCCAGATAGTCCGTGTCTTCCAAGAATACCTGGAGTTGTGAAGCCACCACACGTTCCAGGACTTTGCCCAAAAAGGGGAGATTGGAAATAGGCCAATAGTTGACAAATGGAGTGGGGTCCAGTGATGGTTCCTTCAACAGCGGTTTTATAATAGCTTGTTTTAAGCTCGTTGGAATATTGCCTTCCTGAAGGGAGGCATTGACCACCACCTTCACTCTCTATATAAACTTCTATATTAATGACATCGTAAATACACTATCCTCTGACAGTCTACATGGTCCTAAAGTTTTGTCCATAACTATTAACATCCTGCTTTACGCTGATGACATGGTGATTATGGCAACATCTCCAGTGGTACAAAGAAGATTCCTGGCAAAATTCAATTTGTACTGTGAGCTAAATTCACTCATTATGAACAAGGATAAATCCAAAATTATAGCCTTTGAGGAAAAAACAGGAAACGGTACACGTGGTCCCTGAAAGGCGTACATTTGGAACAAATTAATTGCTACAAATATCTAGGCATTAAGTTCTCTTCATCTGGTGCTTGGACTAACTACATTACTCATAGTATACAAAGAGCAACGAAAGCAGAAGGTTCCATGTATAAGCTGTACCATCATAGATACCCAGGCACAATCAGATCTGTCCTGGAAGTCTTTAAAACAAAAATAATGCCAACACTTATATTTGGGGCTGAAATTTGGGGGCACATCAATTTGGCCAAGGTCGAAGCCTTCCAAGTTAAGCAGCTTCGCACCTTCCTGGGCCTTTCCAGAACAACGCTGACAGTGGCAGTAAGGGCTGAGCTAGGAATACTCCCAGTAAAAGCTCAAATCTTAATGAGACAGTTTAATTACTGGTCAAAAGTAAACTCTATGGATCCCAGTAGACTTTCTCGCCTATGTCTAGACGATCAAGTCCAGCATGACCAGAAGTCATCGTGGATGGCTGCTCTGAATAATGAGTTGGCTGGATTCGGTCTGCCTTTGCAATTTCTGGGTGTTTTGGGTCCGGGGACAGGGCAAGTGCTCAAGCGGCGCATTAGGGATGTCTATGCACAGCTGGACCTAGAGAGCATAGGTAGGTCTTCAGCCACAAGGTTTTTAGCTTCCCACAAAAGGAATATTCATTTAGAGCACTATCTAACTATTCCACTTCCTCTACCCTTAAGAAGAATATATACTAGGGCTAGATTTGAACAACTCGGTATTATGGTGCAAACCGGGCGCTACTGTAACATCCCAAGAAGTGAGAGATTCTGCGTCTGGGGAGAACAAACAGTGGAAGACATTGAACATTTCTTAATTGACTGTCCAACATATACTGAACTGCGAGACAGATATTTACATCCAATATTATCCAACTGCAGGTCCCCCAACAGAAATGATATTCTGACATCCCTCTTGCAAGGGCAGGAAAGATCCAGCATAATCAGAGTAAGCCTTTTTATTCTGAAAGCTATTAAGAAAAGAGCAAATTTCCTGAAAGAAGAACCAGGAAAATAAGATTCTGACTATAAATAGAAGGTCAGCTGCTGTCCTCACCTTTTTGCCTTGTTTTTTACTCATGTTCTATTTTGAAATGGTCATATGACTGATCAAATAAATAAATATTATTACTGGATTCTATGGCTGTGTGGAAAGGCCCTCGGGGGATGCAATTGTGAGCTGACCTCAGAAAAGCTTCTTGTTTGGAGTACAACCAAATAAAACTTTTCCAAGTTCTTTATGAGAGTACCAACACACACCTGAAGTATGGGCTACATGGGTTCATGAATAGTTGTAATGCTCTAACAGAAAAGATATGTATAAGTGTGTGTGTGTGTCTGCCCGTATTTGTTTCTGTACATACAGTTGTAATAGCCCATAACTAGTTCAATTATTGAACTATGACTCTGGTCACAAAGATTCAAATCCCCATTCACCTATGTATGCGGCCGGTCTAGCACAGCAGGTTAAACCACCTGCTATAGAAGACTCTGCCGACTGGAAGTTTGGCAGTTCAAGCCAGAACAGGGTGAGCTCCTGTCGTCAGCCCAGCTTCTGCTCACCTTGCAGTTCAAAAGCAACGATGTGAGTAGATAAATAGGTACCGCTTTGGCAGGGAGGTATAAGGCACTGTAAAAAATATGATGGCAAAAATCTGACCAGGAAAGATGTCCATGGATGACAGGGCCCTCAGTGTGGAAAATGAAGCAATGGCGCCTCCCCATAGCCAAGTCAAGCGCAGCCGGATGGAGATGAAAGAGGGAAGCCTTGCCTCTGTTTATGTACAGTCTACCTGTGCCAATTGTATAACGGCATTGAATGTGTGCCATATATGTATCTGTAATCTGCTCTGAGTCCCCTCAGGGGGGATAGAGGCAGAATATAAATAAAGTGTGTATGTGTGTATACACACACAGACATATATAGATAGATAGATACACACACATATATACATATATATCTCACCATGTGAGTTAGGCAAATCACCATCTCTCTGCTTCAGGGGAAGGCAAAGGCAAACTCTCCCTCTGCCAAGGAAACATGACACATTCACCTTAGGGTCACACTACGCTGAAAATACAGTATGATCTCCGTATCCACACGGGATACGGGATACCTGAACTTACCATGGAAACGTGAAACCATGGATAATGGCAAAACCTTATTGAAATGAACCACTTCAACTAGAAGTATTATGACAGATTTGCTTGGAAGAAAGACCTAGAAAATCCTTAAAGAACAGGCATGTGCCAACTCCCACACTTCCCAACAGACTCAGGCCCTTTCCTTTTCCTCCTCAGTCACTTAAGTGGAAAAGGAAAGGGAAAAGGAAGGGGCCAGTGGCTGTTAGGAATTGTGGGAGCTGAAGTCCAAAACCCCTGGAGAGAGGGCCCAAGTTTGTCCATGCCTGCCAAAGAAGTATCTTCTCTATGAATGTGTTAAATCCTCCAGGGCAAATCTAATGTAATTGCCAGTGGAAGAATCCCATAGAATTGCCCGGGGAGTGAACAAAATTCCTAGTGAGGACACATTTTGTTGGATGTGGATAAGTCAAACCACAGATACCTGTCCTGTACATCATCCTGCAACTTAAAGATACACCGTATAAATAGAACATATCCATAAAAAACAATGCAACAAATCTATGTACATGTAGAGCCCCCGGTGGTGCAGTGGGTTAAACCCCTGTGCAAGCAGGACTGAAGACAGACAGGTCACAGGTTCGAATCTGGGGAGAGGCGGATGAGCTCCTTCAATCAGTTCCAGCTCCTCATGCGGGGACATGAGAGAAGCCTCCCACAAGGATGATAAAAACATCAAATCATCCAGGCGTCCCCTGGGCAACGTCCTTGCAGACGGCCAATTCTCTCACACCAGGAGTCATTCCTGACACGACAAAAAAAATGTACATGTATGAGAGTGGGTGAAAAAGTTTTGCCTCCTGTGTCATAAAAACATTATGAATGAACCTATAACAGCAGAAACTGCTATAGATCATAGCCTCTACACAAAACTACTGTGCAACAGTCACCATCCATTTGGACATATTTGCACCATCATTTATCCCAGGCATCAAAACCATTATTGAAAAATTCAGGGTTTTGATTGTGACTCATAATTTTAAAGCTGTTTTGACATCATTCAAGTCATTGAATCTGAAACCACGTTGGTTGTCTTTCAGGACCTTGGAAAAACAAAACCCTGAATTTTTCCAAAATGGTTTTGATGGCATAAATGTGTTCCAAAATAAATGATGGTGCAAATGTGTTCAAATTGATGGTGACGCTGTTGAATAGTAGTTTTGTGTAGAGGGGAGTTCAGGTTGATCTGTAGCAACTTCTACTGTTAAGAGGGTCATTCATAATGTTTTTATGACACAGGAGGCAAAACTTTTTGACCCACCCTCATATATGTACATAAATCAATTCAATACTATCTAACATCTATATAATATTTGTATTCAGTTATACCCTCCCCTCCTCTTTCTCCAATGAAAAAAAGCAAAACAAAAGGTTTATTTCCAGATTAGTATTTGTTGATGTGACTTTCCGAAACAGAAAAACTATATTTAACACCTGCTGTTGTTGACTACACAATCTTGCTTCAGAATGGTCATGATCATTAACACTTAGTACATCACAAGGAGACTAGCACAGTTTCACCAGTACATTCAGTTCTTTTTCCATGAAAAACTGAATAATGGGAAAAAATGAATGAAGGCATTACTGTCAAAATGAGATTGCATTATTTTGAGGGGTTATTTGTTTCTTTCTGATCTGGTCCTATGTATAGGAAGCCATAAATACATTAACGTACAGTTAAATGTCAGAGCCTTCGAGCACTGCGCTCTCTTTCATCACAGGAAGCAAGTAAAGCAGGAAGTAGTTTTTCAAGAACATAGAATGCAACAAACTGGCTGGAAGCAATAAAGCAAAGATGAACAGATAATATATTTCAAGGCAAGAAGAAAGAGTAGCCATAACATTACTCCACTTCTTTTGGTAGATCACCAAGGAAAGAAACAGTAGCAACAGCTCCATTTCCCTTATCTATATAAATAAAAATGTATTGTTCATTTGTGGGATTAACAGAACTCAAAAACCACTAAACAAATTGACACCAAATTTGAACACAAGACACCTAACAACCTAATGTATGTCCTTCACTCAAAAAATTGATTTTGTCATTAGGGAGTTGTAGTTGCTGGGATTTATAGTTCACCTACAATCAAAGAGCATTCTGAACCCCACCAACGATGGAATTGAACCAAACTTGGCACACAGTTCTCCCATGACCAACAGAAAATACTGGAAGGGTTTGGTGGGCAGTGTCCTTTGGTTTGGGAGTTGTAGTTCACCTACATCCCAAGATCAATGTGGACTCAAACAATGATGGATCTGGACCAAACTTGGCTCGAATATTCCAAATGCCCAAATATGAACACGGATGGAGTTTGGGGGAAATAGACCTTGATATTTGGGAGTTGTAGTTGCTGGGATTTATAGTTTGCCTACAATCATAGAGCATTCCGAACCCTACCAACGATAAAATTGGGCAAAAACTCCCACACAGAACCCCCATGACCACCAGAGTGGGCCACAGCAACACGTGGCAGGGGATGGCTAGTAATCTATATAAATAAAATTGTAATATTCATTTGTGGGATTAACATAACTCAAAAACCACTGGACGAATTGACACCAAATTTGGACACAATACACCTATCAGGCCAATGAGTGACCATCTGTGAAGATCCCTTACCTTACCAGCCTGGGTGGCAGGGCCTAGGAGAGACAGGCCATTTAGTTGCAGCTTTAGAAGGCCTGGCAGAGGGCAGCAGGAGCCATTTTAGTTTAGGGAAAGCTCCATTTCAGAGAGGGGGAGTGGCCTAGGCCTGAGCCAGTCTTGGAACAGCCAGGATTGGTTTATTAAAGGGGGGCAGAGTTAGACTGTTTGGAGGGAAAGAAAGGGCTGTTTCAGTCAGTCTGTTGATGTTAAGAGTTAGAGCAGGATTACAGAATTAGGAGTTCGTGATTAGAATAGGCAGTTTGCCTGAAGTTTGCCAGCGAAGTGAGCTGTGGCAAACTGGGTACAGCTATTTAGGGAAGAAATAGCTGGGTTTTATATTTGTAACAAAGAAAGAACCATTCTCATGCAACCGTTACGCTTTCAAGAACAAGAACATTTTATCTGTAACAGCCAAGCTTATTAAACTGCATTCACTTCATTCTGTACTATATTAAATAAACTTTTCTTGTTTATTTTGAAACTTAAAAGCCTGAGTACAGTGTGCCATTTGTGGCTATAGTCTTTCCTTTTCAACCTCACCTGTTTTCCTTCAAGGACGCCATTTAAAAAACACACAGTACTTGGTGGTCTAAAAAGCCTTTTAACAGTTTAACCAGCTAGAGGGTTCCTGTTCATTTAGTTTATGGTGGCAGCGAAAGTTTAAATAGAGAGACATCTCCTCAAACGTTCTATTGGTGCCAAAGTGGTGTGAAGTCTTTATTTTAGAGGGACAGTTGGTGGGATCTGTTTGCCCCCCTGTCCAGTTATATTGTTTGGCCACACGATCTGCCTTTATAATTTGGTGTCAGATGGTGGGATTGATCGTATTGCCATCTGCATAGTCTTTATACCATCACTCATAAAAACACTGAAAAACACAGCAGAAGAGACTTAAAAAGCCAAAAAACAAAAAAAATACATTACAACGCATGAGCAAAACCACACATATATATGCAAACACAAATATACACACATACATATACACATATATACACACACAAAACACATATACACAGACTGGGCCACAGCAATGAGTGACAGGGGACGGCTAGTATATAATATAATAGTATAACTTTATTTTTATACCCCACCTCCATCTCCCCAAAGGGACTCGGGGCGGCTTACAAAGAGACGTACCCAACAAAACAGGTTAAAATAAGCATAAAAAACCAAGCATTATCAAACATCAATAGACATAAAATCAAACAATATTATAAAAGCAATTAAAAGCAATATCATGGCTGAGCAAATAAAATGCTGGGTTTGGTTCATAATTAATAAGTGCAATGAATCCTAAGTAGAGTCAGGGAAAATGTGACAATCAGAGGACTGGGCTAGGAGGCAAATATCCTTAGGCCATTAAAGTGTTAGAAGAGTCAGCAAGAGACCATGTTAAAGTGCAGGAGCTGGTGAAATAGAGATAGTAGAAGCAGATGGATGAAGCAACAAGATGGCAAAAGAGAGAATAACAATTCTGTTACTGAAATAAATTCCAGGGTTTAGCACAGGAACAGGACAACTTCGGCCTTCCCTCCAGGTGCTTTGGACTTCAACTTCCACCATTCCTAACAGCCTCAGGCCCTTTCCTTTTTCCCTTCAGAAGCTAAACTTTCAAGGTTTTTACAAACAACATTTTAAAAAACTACAAGAGCTATCTCCTTGAATATTCTACCCAATGGCACAAAATAACAGGGGATCAATCCCCCCAACTTTCAGAAATATTTATACATCTACAGATTTTAGGGATTTTTTTTAAGTTTTGACAAAAATGTCACAACAGCTATCTTACTGAAGGTCTCTCACATTAACCAGTAGAAACCAATATTAACCAATTCTACATTTTCATAGAATCCTAGAGCTGGAGGGTCATCTAGTCCAACTCCCTTCTTCCAGACAGAAGGGCACCATCAAAATTCCAGTCAGCCTCGGATCTAAACCAGGTACGAACAAACTTAGACCTCCAAGTTTTGGACTTCAACTCCCAGCTGTTAGGAATTGTGGGAGTTGCAGTCCAAAACACCTGGAGGGCTGAACTTTGCCCATGCCTGGTCTAAACTAATTAATGTGCTTTCCCTATTAAACAAAGGGGACCCCATTTGGAGATGGGACCCACTGTTTAAGAAGCCCTGTTCTAGTTCCTTATAGTCAACATTTCTTATTTTCATCCCAAGGCATGATCTGGTGTCTGGCCTGAAATCTGCCTCCCTTTCCTAAAGTGCAGGATCGTCTTGCAAAGGTTTCTCAACACTCAAAAATAAATATTCAATTATTCTCACCATCCCTATTTCACATACCCTATTAAATTCTGCTTAGTGTGCTGGAAAAGAATATCTGAGCTGATGCAAGTGAAGTGTTTACTATGAGAGAAAAATCCAAAATGCACTGTTCTGTATTTGCATAGGTAAAGGTTTCCCCTGACATTAAGTCTAGTTGTGTCCAACTCTGAGAGGTGGTACTCATCTCCATTTCTAAGCCGAAAAGCCGGCGTTGTCCATAGACACCTCAAAGGTCACATGGCAAATGGCATGACTGCATAGAGCACTGCTACCTTTCCACAGAAGCAGTACCTATTGATCTACTCACGTTTGCAAGTTTTTAAACTGCTACGTTGGCAGAAGCTGAGACAGCGGGAGCTCATGTCGCTTCCCGGATTCAAACCACCAACCTTCTGGTCAGCATGTTCAGCAGCTCAGCAGTTTGACCTGCCAAGCCACTAGTATGCATTTGAATACACATATGCAAAATCTATAGTGCAATGATATATTTGCTCCTGTGGAGGAAGTCCCATAGAATCCAATGGGCACTGTTCCTAGGTATACATGTGCGGGATTGTAGCCTCAATCACCCAACTTCTGGCTTGCTTTGGCTCTTTCCGATGGGCCCAAATCCTAAGGGTGAAGAAATGTGACCAATACTAGGAAGCTCACCCATTTTGTATTGAGGCTCTGGGGTCCTTGCTGCTCTTCACACAGATCATTATTAAACCAAACAGGAAGAAGAAAGCAGCTGTTGCAAAGCACATTCGGTACACTGCTTTGTGACCCAGGAAGGACTTGCAGTTGACTTGGCCTTGGATGTATGGAAGTGTGTTTCCTCCTTCACAGAATCCAGGGAGCTGTGGAAAGAAAAGGCAAATGTTCAACTAACCCTACAGGTTTTTGATATTCTTCATATTATTGATAAACCAAAACAAAAATTCAGTTGGGTAGAAATGTGATCAATTGGGTAGAAATTGATAACATGATATTCAATCAAAATAAATGTACATGTAGATTAAGAAAAACCCAAACACACAGGTATAACTCTATGATTCTTTGATTCTAATCTTCTTACCTTGTGGAGTTCTGCCTCTACTCCAGGGATAATCATGATAATAGACACCAGTGTGCCCAGGAAGAGGAAGAAAGTGAAGCTCAGGCGGGTTATTGTGGAATTCTTGCTTGAGGGGCAGCAGCCGCACAAGAGACAAGGTGCTGATCCACAAAGGCATGACACCTGGCAAGAAAAGAACAGCCAATCTCTGTTAGAAGCGAAAGGAAATTCATAGCATGAAGAGCTATAGCTGATACATCAGGCATGGAAAACTTCGGCTCTCCAGGTGTTTTGAACTTCGACTCCCACAATTCCTAACAGCTGGTAGGCTGTTATGAATGGTGGAAGTTGAAGTCCAAAACCTGGAGAGCCTAAGTTTGTCCATGCCTGGTTTAGACTCTAGGATGGATGGAGTTTTGATGGTGTCCTTCTGCCTGGAAGAAAGGAGTTGGACTAGATGGCCCTTGGGGGTCCCTCCAACTCTAGGATTCTATGAAAATGTAGAAATGGTTAATATTTGTTTCTATTGGTTAATATGAGAGACATTCAATAAGATAGCATTTTTGTCAAAACTTTAAAAACATTCCCTAAAATCAGCCAATGTATGAATATTTCTGAAAGTTGAGGGGAATTATCCCGTTATCTTGTCATCGGATAGAAAATTCAAGGAGATTGCTCTTGTAGTTTTTTAAAAAAATGTTGTTTATAAAAACTTTGAAAATTAAGTGGCTGAGGGGGAAAGGGAAAGGGCCTGAGGCTGTTAAAAGTGGTGGGAAGTCCAAAACACCTGGAGAGAAGGCCTAAGTGGCCCATGCCTGGGATACATGCACGATTCTCGATCCAAACTCCAGACATGATACACAATAGTTTTCACAGATTTTCCTCTATAAGAACAAGCATAGCTCAGGTCCGTACTGTCAAGCCTGTGTCCCTCCAGGTGTTTTGGACTTCGGCTCCCAGAATTCCTGACCATTGGGCAAGCTTGCTAGGGATTCTGGGAGTGGGAGGCCCAAACATCTGGAGGGCCGCAGGTTTGACACCTCCAGTCTAAGTAGACAGGCAGTCCCCATGTTACAAACAAGATAGGTTCTTTAGGTTTGTTCTTAAGTTGATTTGCATGTAAGTTGGAACAGGTACTTTTAAAATGTAACTCCAGTATATGTGTGTGTGTGTGCGCGCATGTGCGCATGCTTTGGATAATCATGGGAATTATTAACACCCCTATGGTGTTTATTATGATGCCTGTCCCCTGTTCAGGGATTCCACCTCACTTTCTGCCATTGTGAATTTCACCCACGTACTAAAGACACTCCATATAAATATGTAGAATTGTATTTCTGAAGTTTTTTTCTTTTTATTATAGACTAGCCATCCCCTGCCATGCGTTGCTGTGGCCCAGTCTGTGTATATATGTTTAGTGTGTGTTGGTTAGATCTTTTATCATTTGCTCTCCTTCTGGGGTTGCTGCTGTAAATTTTCTACAATCTTTTAAGTAGAAATCTGGTTTAATTTTGTCTTAGCTATTCTATTCATAATGTATTTTAAGTTGTCCTGTGTTTTTAAGTAGTTGTAACTCACCTTGAGTCCTATGCTGGGAGAAGGGCATATTTGAATCAATAAAATAGATTCCTTGAAATGCCAAAAAACAGAAACTGCATTCCCAGTTTCATTCCCAGCAATGCTGGACCATGTTGTGCTAACAGCTGGCTTCTAAACCCTCTGCAGTTGCCCTAACAACAACAGCAGCAGCAGCAGCAGCAGCAGCAGCAGCAACAACAACAACAACAACAACAACAACAACAACAACAACAACAACAAACTTTAGTGGGTTGCTGTGAGTTTTCCAGGCTGTCTATCCATGTTCCTTCTCACGTTTCACCCACATCTATGGCAGGCATCCTCAGAGGTTGTGAGGTCTGTGGGAAACTAGGAAAATGGGGTTTATATACCTGTGGAATGATGTCCAGGGTGGGAGAAAGAACTCTTTATCTGTTGGAGACAGGTGCAAAGACCGTAATGATCCAAAAAGCTACAGACTAATCTCCCTGTTGTGCCACCTCTACAAAGTTCTGGAGAGACTTATTTTGCATAGAATTACAGAAAAAATAGACCCCTGTCTGATTCCACAGCAAGCTGGCTTCAGGAAAGGCAAAAGCTGCACATCGCAAATGCTGAACCTGACTCAACATATAGAAGATGGCATTGAAAGGCAGCAGATCACAGGAGCTGTCTTTATAGACCTGTCAGCGGCTTATGATACTGTGAATCACCGCCTTCTCCTGAGAAAAATGTATAATATCACAAAGGACTACCACCTCACCCGCCTCATAGGACACCTGCTACAAAACAGGAGCTTTTTTGTTGAGTTCCAAGGCCAGAGAAGCAGATGGCGGAAGCAGAAGAACGGCCTGCCTCAGGGGAGCGTGATTGCTCCATCAATGTTCAACATTTACACAAATGACCAGCCACTGCCAGAAGGGACAAAGAGTTTCATCTATGCTGATGATCGTGCCATTACCGCTCAAGCAGGGAGCTTTGAGATGGTTCAACAGAAGCTCTCCGAAGCTTCTGTTCCGAAGCTCCGAAGGTGCTCTTACTGCCTATTACAGGGGAAACCAACTGATCCATAATCCATCTAAAACACAGACATGCACCTTTCACATTAAGAACAGACAAGCATCCCGAGCTCTGAGGATTACCTGGGAAAGAATCCCACCGGAGCATTGCAGCACACCTGAACAGCAAGCAAAAAGTGGGTGCTAGAAACAATATCATACAAAAGCTGACTGGCACAACCTGGGGATCACAACCACACACAGTGAAGACATCTGCCCTTGTGCTACGCTACTCTGCTGCTGAGTACGCATGCCCAGTGTGGAACACATCTCACCACACTAAAACAGTGGATGTGGCTCTTAATGAGACATGCCGCATTATCACGGGGTGTCTGCGCCCTACACCACTAGAGAAATTACACTGCTTAGCCGGTATTGCACCACCTGACATCTGCCGGGAAGTAGCAGCCAATAGTGAAAGGACCAAGGCAGTGACATTTCCAGCTCATCCCTTGTTTGGGTATCAGCTATCACATCAACGACTTAAATCAAGAAATAATTTTCTTAGATCTACAGAGACACTCGCTGGAACACCTCAGCAAACAAGAGTCCAAACGTGGCAGGCTCAAACCCAGAACCTCAATCCATGGGTGATACCATGGGCTACAAAGTTGAATCCATGACATGCGAGTGCGGAGAAGAGCAAACCACAGACCACCTGCTGCAGTGCAGCCTGAGCCCTGCCCCATGCACAATGGAGGACCTTCTTGCGGCAACACCAGAGGCACTCCAAGTGGCCAGCTCCTATTTATTTATTTGTTGTGTCAGAGCAACCAGTCCATTACATTACATTTCTAACAGAACAAAGCAAACAAACAGACAGAATACAAAACTTGTGAGTCTGGTAGTTGGTTAAATGTCCTTTGACCAGTTTCTGGCCACCTGGAGTGCTTCCGGTGTTGCTGCAAGAAGGTCCTCCTTTGTGCATGTGGCAGGGCTCAGGTTGCATTGCAGCAGGTGGTCAGTGGTTTGCTCTTCTCCACACTCGCATGTCAAGGATTCCACTTTGTAGCCCCATTTCTGAAGGTTGGCTCTGCATCTTGTGGTGCCAGAGCGCAGTCTGTTCAATGCCTTCCAAGTCGCCCAGTCCTCTGTGTGCCCAGGAGGGAGTCTCTCATTTGGTATCAGACATTGGTTGAGGTTCTGGGTTTGAGCCTGCCACTTTTGGATGTAACATCAGGAGAGAACGCTTCTGGAACATGGCCAAACAGCCTGGAAAACTCACAGTAACACAGTAATTCTGGCCATGAAAGCCTTTGACAACACAAATAAAACGTTATTTCTACCCCACCACCTGAATCCTTCCAAAAACTCCTCAATGGGACTTCGCAAAGTTTATCCTGAAATATTTTTTTATGTCTTATATTTAAAGGTGACATGTAATCTGATCACCTACATTTAATCTTTTTTGCCTTGTGTACAAATGAGTCCAGCAATGTTTTGTAACTTTTCTCGATGAGTAAGAGCGCAGAAACCTGTGCAAGTGATTTAATGCTAGATTGGCGTAGGCTGGTCCATGAGGTCAAGAAGAGTCGGAGACGACTGAACGAATGAACAACAAAGGGCACACCCTTCTTTGTGCTATAGCTTTACACTCACGTTACTTTTTTCATTGCAAAAACCTTACACTTCCAAATTACTTGGTGACACCTTCAAGTTTAACACGTTATATTAGCTAAAGTGTTTGTCGAGAACAGCCTGCTTCATCAGATGCAGTCTAGTGAAGTCAGTATCCATTAAAACGTATTACAGCATATAAAAAACATATTTCCTGTCAATGGGGTGTGTGTGCGCTAATAATGACAGACTAATATGCACAGTCTTTTAAATAAGACTGTTTATAAGATTAAGTTAGAAGTTGCTATGGTATTTAGTTTGAAAATATTTCTTTATCATTTTTGACTTAATTTTTTAATGCCCAGATATGCTGTAAGGAATAGTGGAAGTTGGAGTCCACCTGGAGGGAAGATCAAAGTTGGCCCGTGCATGGAATATATGGTATTGAATGCTATAGAATATCTACAGGGGCATAAAGACCACAATGAACATTGATGTTCTTGGAGGCAGAGAATGCATTCGATAACATTCATTGGAGATGTATAGATATACTGTTAGGAGTGGTGGGAGTTGGAGTCCAGAATACTAGGAGGGAGGATGGCCCGAGTTTGCCCATGCCAGGAATATATGGTACAGAATGCTAGAGAACAGGTATGGGTAAACTTTGGCCTTCCCTTCCGGCAGGCTGTTAGGAATTGTGGGAGTTGAAGTCCAAAACACCTGGAGGGAGGGTCAAAGCTTGCCTATATCTGCTATAGAATATTTTCAGGTCTATAAAGAGCAGCAATGCAAAGATACAGAATGGGGGATGCGTGGCTCGAGAGCAGTACGTGTGAAAAAGATCTTGGGGCCCTTGTGGACAACAAGTTAAACATGAGCCAACAAAGGAGTGTGGTGGCAAAAAAAAGCCAAATGGGATTTTGGCCTGCATCCATAGGAGTATAGTGTCTAGATCCAGGAAGTCATTCTACCCCTCTATTCTGCCTTGGTCAGACCACATCTGGAATGTTGTGTCCAATTCTGGGCACCACAATTGAAGGGAGACGTTGACAAGCTGGAATGAGTCCAGAGGAGGGGACTGGAGAACAAGCCCTATGAGGAGCGGCTTAAAGAGCTGGGCATGTTTAGCCTGAAGAAGAGAAGGCTGAGAGGAAACATGGTAGCCATGTATAAATATGTGAGAGGAAGTCATAGGGAGGAGGGAGCAAGCTTGTTTTCTGCTTCCCTGGAGACTAGGACGCAGAACAATGGCTTCAAACTACAAGAACGGAGATTCCATCTGAACATGAGGAAGAACTTCCTGACTGTGAGAGCCATTCAGCAGTGGAACTCTCTGCCCCGGAGTGTGGTGGAGGCTCCTTCCTTGGAAATTTTTAAATAGAGGCTGGGTGGCCATCTGTCAGGGGTGCTTTGAATGCAATTTTCCTGATTCTTGGCATGGACTGGATGGCCCATGAGGTCTCTTCCAACTCTATGATTCTATGGAGCGTCAATGTTCTTGGAGGCAGAGAAAGCATTTGATAATTTATTTATTTATTTATTTACAGTATTTATATTCCTCCCTTCTCACCCCGCAGGGGACTCAGGGCGGATTACAATGTACATATACATGGCAAACATTCAATGCCATAGACTCACAACATACATAGACAGACACTCAGAGGCTATTAACTTTCCACCTTCTGGTCATGAGGGGAGCTGCCACTTCCTCATTCTTTGCCTACTTGCATACTTCCTGGAGATTTTTCATGGCCTCGTAAATCAGTTAATTTAGCCTCCCCACAAAGTGGTAACTAATTTTCCTACTGGACAGATGCAACTGTATTTCGGGTTGCAAAGGTCGAGAACAAGCTACACAATTTTGGTCGCAGCTTGGGAGTGATCCTGGACTCATCGCTGAGCCTGGAACCCCAGGTCTCAGCGGTGGCCGGGAGAGCTTTTGCACAATTAAAACGTGCGCCAGCTGTGCCCGTACCTTGGGAAGTTGGATCTGGCCACAGTGGTCCACGCTCTTGTTACATCCCGATTAGATTACTGCAACACACTCTACGTGGGGTTGCCTTTGAAGACTGTTCGGAAACTTCAATTAGTCCAACGGGAGGCAGCCAGATTAGTCACCGGAGTTTCACACAGGGAGCATACCACCCCTCTGTTATGTCAGCTCCACTGGCTGCCGATCTAATTCCGAGCACAATTCAAAGTGCTGGTTTTGACCTACAAAACCCTATATGGTTCTGGCCCAGCGTATCTGTCCGAATGGATCTCCTTCTACGTCCCGCCTCAGAATTTAAGATCTTCTGGGGAGGCCCTGCTCTCGGCCCCACCTCTATTACAAGTGAGATTGGCGGGGACGAGGAGCAGGGCCTTCTCGGTGGTGGCCCCTCACCTGTGGAATTCTCTCCCTGGGGAAATTAGATCTGCGACATCCCTCCTTTCCTTTAGAAGGAAATTAAAAACATGGATTTGGGACCAGGCGTTTGGGTAATCTGGCAGATGAATAAAGGACTACGACGACTGATAAAAATAGATAACGTAGAACGAAATATGGACTCTGAGTTGGCGAACGCTGAGCTTGAGATTGGTTTATTGACTGTGATATATATTGAATGTTTTAACTGTCTTCATTGTTTTAATTGCTGTTTTACACGCTTATTTGTATTATTGTGTAGGCATCGAATTGTGCCTTTTTGTAAGCCGCCCTGAGTCCCCCCTCGGGGGTTGAGAAGGGCGGGGTAGAAGTATACGAAATAAATAAATAAATAAATAAACTCACTCCGACCCAGGTTGGCTTTGAACTCATGTAGTGATCTTAACATTCATTGGACGTTTTTATTAATTTGTTATGCTTTTTATGGAACCTGTTTCAATGATTACTCTTATCGTGTAATTTTTAATGATTTGCTTTTAATTGTTTGTTTACTGCTGTTTTGTTGTCCAATTTGTTTTTGTCTGAGTCCCTCCGGCGAGAGAAAGGGGGGAGGGCGAGAAAGATCATTATTATTATTATTAAACTTTATTTGTACCCCGCTAGCATCTCCCGAAGGATTCGATGCGGCTTACACAGGCCGAGGCCTCAACACACAGCATAGCAATACAAACTAGGCAAATCAAACAATTAAAAACAGGATAAAGCAAATAAACAACAGGCAAAAGCAATACACTAAAACACAATAAAAACTGGGCCAGGCCAAAGTAATGGGTACAAGAATTAAAAGTGCTGATGTGACAGGAGGTGTATATGAGGCTTCTAGGGCAAGTGCGATGTGCAGCAGTCATTGGTTCTGATAAGGTGCTTCTGGGACTTGGAAGTGGAGATTTCCTAATCTGGGAAGGTGCATCGGAAAAGCCAAGTCTTCAAGTTCTTTCTGAAGACTGCCAGTGTAGGGCCTGTCTAAGGTCTTTGGGGAGGGTGTTCCAGAGTCTGGGGGCTACCACGGAAAAGGCCCTGTCCCGCGTCCCCACCAAGCGCGCTTGCGACGCAGGTGGGATCACGAGCAGGGCCTCTCCAGATGACCGAAGTGAGCGTGTGGGTTCGTAGATGGAAATGCGGTCACGCAGGTAAGCTGGTCCCAAACCGTTCAGGGCTTTGTAGGTAAGCACCTGCACCTTAAATTGAGCTCGGAATATAAACGGCAGCCAGTGGAGCTCCTTGAACAGGAGGGTTGACCTCTCTCTGTAAGGGGCCCCAGTTAGCATCCTGGCTTGTCAAAGGCTTTCATGGCTGGAATCACTCAGTTCTTGTGGGTTTTTTCGGGCTATATGGCCAGGCACTGTCAGCCCATTGTATGCTAATCAAGGTGGTCAGTTGAAAGATTCACACCTAGCCCAACTTACAAAAGCCCTTTGTCTCACCCTGGTCATTCCACAGATATATAAACCCCTTTTTTCCCAATTCCAGCAGACCCTACTTCTGAGGATGCTTGCCATAGATGCAGGCGAAACGTCAGGAGAAATGCCTCTAGAACATGGCCATATAGCCTGAAAAAACCCACAAGAACTGAGGAACATCCTGGCTGCTGATCGTTGGACCAGTTGGAACTTCCGAGCTGTCTTCAAGGGCAGCCCCACATAGAGCGCATTGCAGTAGTCCAGTCTGGAGGTGACCAAGGCATGAACCACTCCGGCCAGATCCGCCTTCGCGAGGTATGGTCGCAGTTGGCGCATGAGTCTCAATTGTGCGAAAGCCCTCCCAGACACCGCCGACGCCTGAGCCTCAAGCGTAAGCGATGAATCCAGGAGGACTCCCAAACTGCGGACCTGTGGCTTCAGGGGGAATGTAACCCTGTCCAGCACAGGTTGCCACCCTATACCCCGGTCAGGTTTTCGATCGACCAGAAGGACCTCTGTCTTGTCGGGATTGATCTTCAGCTTGTTCCTCCTCATCCAGATAGACACAGCGGCCAGGCACTTGTCCAGCACCCGAGAGGCCTCCTTGGAGTTAGGTGGAAAGGAGTAGTAGAGCTGTGTGTCATGTGCATAGAGGTGGCACCTAGATAGTATTCTTCCTCTTCTTCTTAGTATTACTTTGATAGAAAGTCTGTGGAGAATGGTGGGAGTTGGAGTCCCGAACACCTGGAAGGGAGGAGGGCCCGGGGTGGCCCATTGCCAGCTAGAGGGGTTTTCGAAACAAGCAAGCCACACTCAGGGGCGCTTTGGGGTTCCTGTGGGTTTCCTCCCAGCCTGGGCCCCGAAAGGGGAAGCCACCCCCAAGCGCTTCCCTTGACACTTCCCGAAAGAACCCGAACAGCGAATCATAGAATCATAGAATCAAAGAGTTGGAAGAGACCTCATGGGCCATCCAGTCCAACCCCCTGCCAAGAAGCAGGAATATTGCATTCAAATCACCCCTGACAGATGGCCATCCAGCCTCTGCTTAAAAGCTTCCAAAGAAGGAGCCTCCACCACACTCCAGGGCAGAGAGTTCCACTGCTGAACGGCTCTCACAGTCAGGAAGTTCTTCCTCATGTTCAGATGGAATCTCCTCTCTTGTAGTTTGAAGCCATTGTTCCGCGTCCTAGTCTCCAGGGAAGCAGAAAACAAGCTTGCTCCCTCCTCCCTGTGGCTTCCTCTCACATATTTATACATGGCTATCATATCTCCTCTCAGCCTTCTCTTCTTCAGGCTAAATATGCCCAGCTCCTTAAGCCGCTTCTCATAGGGCTTGTTCTCCAGACCTTTTATCATTTTAGTCGCTCTTCTCTGGGCACATTCCAGCTTGTCAGCTGGAACTTTAAAACGACGCCCCACCCCCACCCCCCCCGGAGAGAGAGAGAGAGAAAGAGAAAGAGAGAGAGAAACTCACGCAGCTCAGCACAGAGCAGACCCCCAGGCACGCTCCCATGGCGGTGGCGCGTCCAACCCAGAAGCGCGCAAGGCAAACACTTCCCGAGGCGCGCCCTTCCCGGGGTTACCTGTCGCAGCCACTCGGCTCCCCTCGGCAATTCTCGGCTCTTTCCGCGGGCGCAGTGACGTCATCGCCCCCGCCTCGCCTCAGCCTGGCCGCCCGGGAGGGGCTGCTGCCTCTCGCCTATTTCTAAAGCCGCACCTGGCCGGAGTGACGTCACTCCCTTTGAATAGAGAGAGGGAGAGAGAGAGAGATAGCCACGTGGGGCGCGGCAACCAATCCCGACGGGTCATTGATTTCGCCCCTCTCGCCCTCCTATTGGGGTTGGAGCCCTCTCCCACCCCCCTCCCTGCTTCTTCTTTTTTAAATAAAAGGAATCCAGATTCAGAATCTGTAGAAGTGAGGAAGGTTTGACTAATCCGATTAGGCCCGTAGCGAGGGGGGGGGGGGTTTTAGGGGTTCAACCCCCCCCCCGAAATTTCAGATTTTTTTAAAAAAACCTGCTTTACTCATGAATTTTAACTGGTTAACCCAATCCCCATGCTAAGTCTATGAGATGCAAAAACAAGAGTCCCTCCAGAACTGCAAGCACTATCTCAAGCAAATATTAGCCATTTATTCACACTGTCATTACTTACAGCAATAGCCCATGTAGTTGTTCTGGTACAGCTGCACCAGGAGCTCCAACTTTATTTGCTTTGTATTAAATGTTTGCTTGCAGTCCTAGGTTTCAGGGACTCTGCAGATAGGTGGCTTCTTTGGTTGCAGTCATAGGGCAAGTCACGTGTCCACCATTGTTAAGTTTTGGTCCCGTCCCTTGCTCAGGGCAATTGGGAAGGGAAGGGAGCCATTTTTAGTTAGCCTCAGCAAGGAAAGCTTATGTATAGGATGTGTGCAAGCTTCCCCTGTACAAAAGCTTCAACCCTTAAGACCTTCTGGGGAGAAAGGTCTTAAGAGTCTCCAAAGAATTTCCAAGAAAACAGCCCTAAAGACCAAAGAACTCCAGCTGGAGAACATCTACTGCCTTGCTGGTAGGTCCACTCGGCATTCGAGACGCAGTTCGACCCGGTAGCGGAGCCCACATCAGTAAGGGTTAGATTGCAGTCAGCCTGGGAGAAGTTAAAACGAGGGATTTTCGTTTAAAGAAGAAGTTATTGAAGACAGTTGCCTGTCCTTCGTGGGCAAGATTAGGAATTCACCAGTTGCCTAAAAGCTTGGAATCATTTGCTTAACTTTACTGAAGACAAGAGAAGTTTCTGTTTGATTGTTCATTAATAAAAGACTTTGTTGTACTTCTCAAGCCATCTAAAGACTGTTTGTGGTGGAAACCTCTGAGAACTTCTCTTTAGGCCCCCTGGCTTCCCGCTGGGCAAAGGTTGCACATCCTGTTCTAAAGACAATTATTTACAGGCCCAGCGCGCGACAGAACAGTAGTGAAGCAACCAAGTTGAGGGGGGGGATGTTGAATGCTCTCATTAAGGAGGCCAGACTTGGTGGAGGTGGTTGACAGGGCGGAGCTGCAGGCTATTGAAGGCTGCTCTGCCCCCTGCTGTGCTCTTTGCTTCAGCGTGAGCTAGGAGGCAGGTTTCAACCCCCCCTGCGAAATTTTCAAACCCCCCCCCACGAAATTTCAACCCCTCCCGAAATTTTTTTCTGGCTACGGCCCTGAATCCGATAAACGGGATCATAGACTCATAGAGTCGGAATCTGGTCCAACCCCCTCCTTCCCTCTTTGTACCCCTCCCTTCTCTACCCCAAAGGGGACTTTTCCTGATGGCAAGGAAACCACAGTCAAAGCCCCCCCCCCCCCCCCCCGCTGACCAGCCTCTGTTTGAAGCTCCCAAGGAAGGCGCCTCCAATGGGCATTGCTGGACAGCTCTCTTCCTCATGTTCAATGGTATCTCCTTCCCTGCCCTCAGAGGCGGCCTTAGGTAATTTTCAACAGTAAGCAAACAATATTTTGGCGCCCCCCCCCCCCAACCAATCATTGATATATATTTTCTGTTCATCGTGGGAGTTCTGTGTGCCATATTTGGTTCAATTCCATCATTGGTGGAGTTCAGAATGCTCTTTGATTGTAGGTGAACTATACATCCCAGTAACTACACTTGCCGCACTTACTCCCTTGCCTGGCCCGCTTTGGGTCCGGAGGCGTGCCTGAAGACCCCGGCGTGTGCACCAAAAGTCACCTCTTCTCCTGACTTTCTCCTCAGCCATTGGGACCAAGAGAGAGAGAGAGAGAGAGGTGGAGATGCCCACCTTTCCTGAAGGTAGGCGCAAAAACAAAGGAGGGAGCGGAGGTGGGAGATACCTCCAGCCGGAGGGGCTCTCTCTCTCTCTCTCTCTTGGTCCCAATGGCTGAAGAGAAAGTCAGGAGAAGAGGCGAATTTTGGTGCGCATGCTGGGGTCTTCAGACACGCCTCCGGACCCGAAGCGGGCCAGGCGCGGTGGCTCCACCCCTTGGCCCACCCGCGATTGGGAAGAAGAGAGGAGGCGGGTGGAGCGCTGGGGGGTCGGGAAAGGGAGCCGGTCATGGGGAGGGATCGAACGCGGAGAACAATTGAGCGCCGGCTCTGCTTGCACACCCGGTGGCCGGGTGGAGCAGGAACGAGAGGGGCTAGGCGAGGCTCAAGGGCCCGGCCCCTTTGGGAAGAGGATCGCCCGGCAGCGAGGCAAGAAAGCCGAGGCTCCCCCCGGACTGCTAGGGCTGTTGTGAGCTGAGGGGGCGCTCCTCAAGTGGTGGTCGAGGGGCATTTACAGAGGCGCCTCTGCGCCCCTGGCAAAAAAAGTGTTCTGCGACCGCTTACTTCGCATAATGGACGAGCCGCCCCTGCCTGCCCTAGGAACCATGGCTCCATAGATCATAGAATTGGAAAAGACCTCATGGGCCATCCAGTCCAACCTCCTGCCAAGAAGCAGGAATATTGCATTCAAAGCACCCCCGACTAATGGCCATCCAGCCTCTGTTTAAAAGCTTCCAAGGAAGGAGTCGCCACCACTCTCCGGGGCAGAGAGTTCCACTGCTGAACGGCTCTCACAGTCAGGAAGTTCTTCCTCATGTTCAGATGGAATCTCCTTTCGTGTAGTTTGAAGCCATTGTTCTGCGCCCTGGTCTCCAGGGCAGCAGAAAACAAGCTTGCTCCATCCTCCCTATGACTTCCTCTCACATATGCATACATGGCTACCATGTCTCCTCTCAGCCTTCTCTTCTTCAGGCTAAACATGCCCAGCTCTTTAAGCTGCTCCTCATAGGGCTTGTTCTCCAGACCCCTCGTCATTTTAGTCCCCTCCTCTGGGCACATTCCATCTTGTCAACATCTCCCTTCAATTGTGGTGCCCAGTATTCCAGATGTGGTCTGACCAAGGCAGAATAGAGGGGTAGAATGGGGTAGAATGACTTCCTGGATCTAGACACTATACTCCTATTGATGCAGGCCAAAATCACATTGGCTTTTTTTTGCCGCCGCACTCCTTTGTTGGCTCATGTTTAACTTGTTGTCCACAAGGGCCCCAAGATCTTTTTCACACGTACTGCTCTTGAGCCATGCATCCCCCATTCTGTATCTTTGCGCTGCTGCTCTTTATAGACCTGTAAATATTCTATAGCAGGTATGGGCAAACTTTGACCCTCCCTCCAGGTGTTTTGGACTTCAACTCCCACAATTCCTAACAGCCTACCGAGAGGAAAGGCCAAAGTTTGCCCATACCTGTTCTCTAGCATTCTGTACCATATCATAGAATCATAGAATCAAAGAGTTGGAAGAGACCTCATGGGCCATCCAGTCCAACCCCCTGCCAAGAAGCAGGGATATTGCATTCAAATCACCCCTGACAGATGGCCATCCAGCCTCTGCTTAAAAGCTTCCAAAGAAGGACAAGAAGATTTTGTCATTGGGAGTTGTAGTTGATGGGATTTATAGTTCACCTACAATCAAAGAGCATTCAGAACTCCACTAATGATGAAATTGAACTAAAATTGGCATACAGAACTCCATTACAAATAGAAAATACTGAAAGGATTTGATGGGCATTGAGTTTTGGAGTTGTAGTTCACCTACATCCAGAGAGCACTGTGGACTCAAACAGTCAAACTTGGCATGAATGCTCAATATGGCCAAACGTGAACAGTGGTGGAGTTTGGTGAAAATAGACCTTGACATTTGGGAGCTATAGTTGCTGGGATTTACAGTTCAACTGCAATCAAAGAGCATTCTGAACCCCACTAATGATAAAATTGAGCCAAACTTACCACACCAAAGCCACATGGTCAACAGTTGATCTTGCAACCGGCTCAGGGGTCCCGACGACGGCGAAAGCGCGAGGCAGGCGATGGGGCTTGGCGCGAAGTTAGGCCTCACACCAAGATCCCCTCACACGTCTCTCGCCCCTGCTCAATGGCAAAAGCGGGAGGTGGCTGAGGAGGCTCGGCGCGAAGTTAGGCCTCATGCCGAGATCCCCTCACCCACCTCTCGCCCCTGCTCAATGGCGAAAGTGGAAGGCGGGCAAGGGGGCTTGGCATGAAGCTAGGCCTCGCGCCGAGATCCCCTCGTCCGCCTCTCGCCCTTGCCGATTGGCGAAAGAGGGAGGCGGGCAAGGGGGCTTGGCGTAAAGCTAGGCCTATATTCCAGGCATGGGCAAACTCGGGCCATCCTCCCTCCTAGTATTCTGGACTCCAACTCCCACCACTCCTAACAGTATATCTATACATCTCCAATGAATGTTATCGAATGCATTCTCTGCCTCCAAGAACATCAATGTTCCTTGTGGTCTTTATGCCCCTGTAGATATTCTGTAGCATTCAATACCATATATTCCATGCACGGGCCAACTTTGATCTTCCCTCCAGGTGGACTCCAACTTCCACTATTCCTTACAGCATATCTGGGCATTAAATAATTAAGTCAAAATTGATAAAGAAATATTTTCAAACTAAATACCATAGCAACCTCTAACTTAATCTTGTAAACAGTCTTATTTAAAAGCCTGTGCATATTAGTCTGTCATTATTAGCGCACACACACCCCATTGCCAGGAAATATTTTTTTATATGCTGTAATATATTTTCATGGATACTGACTTCACTAGACTGCATCTGATGAAGCAGGCTGTTCTTGACAAACACTTTAGCTAATACAACATGTTAAACTTGAAGGTGTCACCAAGTAATTTGGAAGTGTAAGGTTTTTGCAATGAAAAACGTAACG